ACTATGATTATTTTAAACTAAGTATTTCTACGTTGCGCGGTCGCACTAAACCAACCTTTTTGTTTAAATTTTATTAATTACCTTTTTTTAGTGTGAAGTGAAGGTATTACGTATAGATATAATAAGTGATCTTTCACGAAATTAACTGCCATTAAATTTTCCATATTGAATTTTGTCATATTTATTCACATAATTTATAATACGATGTAGTGGCGTCCCTGGAAATACATATTTAGTGATTAAGATAATACATTTACATTTCCAACTGCAATATAATATCCTTTAAGTATTGACAACGTGGTCTAGATTAGAACCGATTAGTTTCATACATGCTCGTTTCTAATATAAAAAAGAGTTTCAAATCTTTATTAATTTTTTTATAGACTTACATTCTGCAGCTTTGACTTACATCGTTCAGCATCTCCGCTTCTGAAATAAGAGCTTTAACGTGTTTTTAAAATCTATGTCCGGACAATATATTCAGATAAAAGATACACGACGCACAAGATTACAATCGCAAATGGATACCACAAAGCACTTTAGTTTATATTGATGCATATAAAAGTTTGTGAAATACCCTCGAAAATAGCAACAAAAATTTAATCGATTAAAAAACTTAGCTTTAATGAAAATCGATTCGTTTATTGCCGACTTTTTCATTTTTGATCGCTGTAAGTTTACTTCGTAGTAAAACTATAATACCGCAATGTGCCGACCAAAAGCGGAAACCTTATAATAGGACTCCGCTATTCGTCTGTCACCAGGCTATTCTGATGAACCAGGATAACTAGACATTTGACATATTATATAGTTTTCTTAGCGCTATAATAACAAATAAGTACTTTTTTTACCCGACTGCGCGACGTAAAGGAGGGTAATGTGTTTATCAGTCTTCATTGTATGCATGTTTGTTTCTATGTGGCGTTCTAGAGACCAAATGCGTAGGCCGATTTGAATGATTCTTACGTCAATATATTTTGACAATCCATATTGTCAAAATTAAAAAAAAATCGATGATCAAGTGGGGTGTCGTTGAATAGGTATTTTAAAATCATCTTTAGGTTCCTTTTATCATTTTTCATTTTAAATATTAGTTTAGGTTATATAACGCTTTAAAGTTGTTTAAGAAACGATATTAACTCCCTGAATGAAATGACTTGATTGCGAAATTTACCATCCTATAAAGAAGTCAACGAATCGTAAATAAAAAGTATAAAATAAAAATAAATAATTTAAAGAAAAACAAAAAAACCGACTGCGTAAAAACGAATTTTAAAAAATGCATGTTATAATTAACTTAAATAAAAACTATAAAGAAAGAAACAAGCCCAGTAGTTTAGAATTCTGTTAAGTAATACTAAATAACGACACAATTGAAATAGTTTTATAATCGATACACACATAAAACAAATCATAAATTCTAATGCAGAACAACAGAACGATGAGCCCCGACTGTTATTTCATGTATTTTTTAAAATACGTTTTTACACAGTCGGGTTTTTTAACCGTACTCAAATTCGAAAAGAAGGAGGTTATATGTTCGACGGCGATGTATCTTTTTTTTATATATGTTCACCAATATTTCCGCTTATTGTTGACTGATTTTGAAAATTCTTTTTTAGAATAAAAAGGATCGCTCAATGGATCGAGGTGATCCTATTTAAATTTTATCGAAATCAAATCAGTAGTTTTTGGTTTATAGCAAAACCGGTCAACCGGTTTTTAAATCGGTCAATCATACATAAAAAAAATATACATCACCGTCGAACATATGACCTCCTCCTTTTGAATTTTGAAGTCGGTAAAAAATATGTACTAACATTTAAATATAATTTATTACATAAAGTATTGAAAATCTATGATTATGATAGGAGACATCTCCTCCAATCACTTTCGTCATTTTCTTTTAAAACTAGTCATTTCAAAAATATCACTAAAATGACGATAGTTGAAATACTCGCGATTTAATATGTCACATCACTTAATACGGTTCTAAACATTTTCTTTCATTTTTAGGGTTCCGTACCCTAAGAGTAAAGCGGGAACTTCTCTTTTTGTCTATCATTAGGTCCCCAAAACCTCATTAAGCCCCCAAAACCCTCTCCTAAGTTTCTGCACAGCCGTTATGGATATAAATAGACTACAAAATGATGCTTCAGATATTTGTTGGGACACATTGATCCAGGCTCCTAATGTTGACTCAATGATTCAGTTCTTTAACGAAACAGTTATAGGGATTAACGATGTCCATGCGCCAATCGGGAAGATCAGGTTAAAACGATTGCCGACATCTTGGATGACAAATGGTATTCGGATGGCGATGCGACGCAGGGATCGGGCTTTTCGTAATTATAAAAAGGATCGAGCTGACGAGAAATGGATGTAAAATCGGTGTAACCAGATGATACGTAATGCAAAACGTCGCCATTTTCTCAATAATATTTCTTCCTCATCTTCTTCTGATATCCGGAGGTTCCTAGGAACTGTAGGTATCGGTAAATCGCGAAATATGGACCTTCCAGTTTCTCTAGAGTTAAACTACCTAAATCTTCATTTTTCTACTTCTTCAAGGTTAGATGACTTTGCTGCTGCAAGTACAGTCGTTTCTATAAATGGTCTAACGCGTCGCAATATTGCTCCATTTTGTTTTTCACCAGTGTCAACGTCATAATTCAGAAAGATTATACTTTCGATTAAGTCAAATGCAGTGGGCTACGATGATATAAGATTGCTCCACATCACCTAAAGATTGTCTGGCAGAGAATGCCTAAGGCATTAAGTTCGCCTTTGTACGATTGTGCACAAAGAATTTAATAAATAAATAGTCTATAACTCATGAACTGTGAAAGTTAGATAGTTGAAATTTTCACAGGTGATGTTTTTTACTCCGCTTTAATAAAAAATACTAATGAACTGAATATAACAAGATACAGCCTGGTATCTCATGAACCGTAATCGTAAGACAGTTGTAATCTTCACATAAAGTTTTCTTTTGCTGCTATAACAACAATTACTAAAACAGAATAGAAAAAAATTTTTAAGGGGGTCCTGTATAACAACCGTGATTTCTTTTTTTCTCGTTTTCAGTGCGGAACCCTTCGTCCACGAGTCGGACCTAATGAATATACTACTAGTTAAAATAAAGCCTTTTATATTCACAACTAACAACTATTATAATTTTGTATTGACCCCTTATCAGTGCCGCTTAGAAATCGCTCCAGATAAGTAGGATAAAATATAGTGTATCTAATCGATTCTGTTCTACATAACGATAAAAAACCGATTTTTTTAATACTTGATTACGTATTTCCACCACATCCGTATCTGTCATTTTACGAAGTGAAATTTCTTGGTTTTTTTCTTTTGAATATACCTAATTGTATCTTTTATTATACTATTTTTCTTCAAAAATGGTAATTAACAAGATGTATTTTATTTTCACAGCATTGTCTATCACTTAGCTTTAAGTGTAAAGTTTACATGCGTACAATACTTTAATGCTAAATTGTATTTTCAGGCACGTTATTTCAAAGAACAAGACATAGATGGTATGTTATTTTGTATTTCTATGAATAAATGCTCGTTTGTGTACCTTTACAAGTTAAGACTATTAAACTAACAGTTTAAAGAACACAAGAAAACAAAATAGGTCAATTTCACCTTCAATATCATTTATGTACGAATCGTTCTAAAACTACATACCTACTTAATTAAACTATCTAGGAGAAAAGTGCTGTGTGCCCCGTTGAACTAAAAACTCTTTTATAGTAAGGTGTAATTTTTTTTTTATGTTAATAATATTGAATGAGAATAAACACTTATCCTTTTTCCTTAAACTTTTTTATCTTCTGGAAAATTTAAAACTAGGCAAGTATTAAAAATCAACGCATTAAAATTGCCTTTTTCGGTCAGAGAGGTTAATATGAGACTCAAACTTAATTCAGTTACAAACTTTCTAAGTTTGTAACATTGGTCCTAAATACAGGTGTAGACAGTAAACAAAAAAAAATACTTTTTTACTGGTAGTGTGTAATATACTATTACCAATCACACTCATGCTTATTATCTATATATTAATATCTGAAGCAAAAACTTGGACCCCTTTTTATGAAAATTGGGAGGACGGAGGAGTATGAAATATATGTTGGAGGAGTGCAAACACCTAATATTTTGCAATAATAATGCTTAAAAAGTACATTTAGTCGATAAATATAACATTACACATACTACTATGCATTTGACAGGCACAAACAAGTATTTGCTACACGCATACATGTACTCTTTTGGCTTCGCTCGGTTTGTGCATTGAGCCAGAGTCGAGTTGTATGTGTTTACCGTAGACATCTATTTGTATGTTTGTGATGTTTACTGTGGTCTTACTGAATGTCAAAAGATTTTCGATTTCAGTAATAACTTCTAAATAAAATTTATTATGGTTGAATTTCAAGCACTGGACGACCACTAGTATTTATAATATTGCTTAAACTAATTACGAAAAAACAAATATTTTATACCGCAAACAGTGCATTTCGTCACACCCCTGTTAGTCATATCAGAACTTAGAGAATTCAACCTTAAGCAGATATAGAAAGATATTAATTTCTGAGTGCTGTGACATGACAGAAAAAAATTATTTCATGGGAAATTATGGAAATTAAATTAATTCTTAGATTTTAACTTAACATATTATATGAATGATACTTTTTTAAATATATTTGATGTTTACTTATAAAATACAAATATAAAAAAAAAGTTGTCTACACCCCATTAATTGTATTTAAACTACATTTCAACATCATTGCATTGTCACAGTGTGGAATTCTTGACAATGTGTGTTTTGTTTAAAAAAATCTTGGGTATGTGTGGATTGTCCTTAGTTGTTGTATAGAATTTAGATTCGTGTCCCATCTAGGTATATTATGAAATAGAAAAAAAATTGTAACATCAATCAAAATATCAGTAAAATAATTCTTTTGGATATTTTTGTGGTTTGCCTGGTGCATTTTTTAAGTATTTCTAATTCAAAATATTTTTGGTTTGTTTGCAATGGACGAAATCAAAAACCACAATAATGCAATTAATGATTTTGTTGAAATGTTATCTTCTAGAGTTCCGTGAATGTTTCTACTTGTTTGCACGGTCCGGTCAAATCACGTCCCTGGACGAGTTGACAGTGGTGATGAGATCACTAGGAATGAGCCCTACGATTCAAGAGCTTACTGGTAAGTTAAGGATAATGTAAACAGATTCACTTCACTTTTGCCCTCCTTTCTATTTCTTCTTTTATATTTTCTTAGATGTGCCCGCGATTTCGTCCGCGTGGAAATGTAGCCTAAGTTACTCTTTATTTTATAAGCCATCTGCCTGCAAAAGATCCGTCAAAATTGGTCCTGCCGGTTCAGATATATTAGCCGGAACACACAGACAGTAAATGTAAGAAATTATTGTGATAATAAATATTATTTTGGTAATGACATGATTTTGTAAATGTCATTACTTATGATAAAGTGCTGGAAAGTTTCTTTCGCTTGCTCTTCTTGTCATCTAAAAGACGTTCTGAACAAGTGGTAGGGGAAAAAAATTTTTTGTACGATTCAAAAGTGCTTGAAACATGCTTACTTGAATAAAGATTTTTTACATTTCATTTCAAATGTCATATGTATTGGTATATGTACCATGTTTATGTCACAGCCAAGTGATATAATCAGCCGATCGATTGGAAGGCTAGCCCTTTAATTAAATGGCGGGATTAACGAGCCTATTTTCGATCAGCCGAATTGTTGAACGCAACCTTCTACAAAACGACTAATTCATGGGTAATACCAAAATTTATTGGTAAGATTAGAAGCAAAATATAATAAATATTGTAGTGAGTAATTTAATGATTTTATTTAAAACTAAAAAGACTAGTTTTACCACAATTCAGACAGCCACAGCGCCGTCTATCGAAATGAAAGCAAGCAATGTATTGGACTGCGATTGTTTTAGAATGTTTATTACGATTTCGAAATCGGTACTACAATAATTATTAACAACATAAAAAGATAAACAACGAAGTTATTTTGGTCCTGTAGGTCACGTGATAGCTTAGAAATTTAGGATGAACGTATAAATTTCGAGGTTATTTTTTTAACCGATAACAATAATAAATGAACGTTTTGTCATCTTTTAAATCGGCCATCTTGTTGAACTGTCCAAATGTCATAATGATTCAACTAGAAAACTAGGCGTGCAATTGAATGACGCCATTCAATTGAACGGTTACTTTAACCAGTTTGATGCAACATATACGTACATATGCATTTAGTAAAGCAGTTATTTCAACGTTATTTGTTTCTATTGATTTACCCCCAGACGTGGCCTTTTCTTTGAAGTTTATTTAATGAGGAAGGATAAAAAAAAAACTTTTAAAAACCCTTGAAGTTATAGCGGCAACAGAAATAAATAACCTGTGGAAATTTCAATTGTCTAACTATCACTCAGTAATAGGATCCCGTTTTTTACCCTTGGAGCACGGAACCCTAAAAACCATTCAGTTCGATTAATAATTAACTTACTTTAAATCGGTCAAATAATTCCCTTTTTTTTTCAGGTTATTTAAAAGGAAAAGGTGGCAAGATGTCTTTTGCTGATTTCTTAGAGGTCATGCATATACATTCAAGAGCTGAAAACCTGCCTAGTGAGGTGAGATACTTAATAAGATTTTTTTTTTATGGTATAGGCGGCAGACGAGCAGACGGATCACCTGATGGTAAGTGATTACCGTCGCCTCCACTAGATGGCGACTCTAGCAAAAGTTGATTTTTGCAGGAAACGAATGGACCAAAGACAGTCGTTTCCGTTCCTTTTAACTGACATATTAAAAAACTGAAATTTGCAAAGTTCGAAACTTAGATATCAATACAAATACGAAAAAGTACAAATAAAATAAGAGTTTTGAAAATTAATTTACTTTTAAGCATGAAAGAAGACCGGACCGGGTTGTCATGGAGAAATCAAGAACGTACCGAAGCAACATCTAGTTTGATTTCGGGAACTCATGTTTTTTTTTTTAATACTACCTCATTGTTTGAATGATAAAGAAACAATGAAAACTTAGCTGAACCCGTCATAGATTGCAGTTAGCATTCGACTCTTATTTGACATCTGCTATCTCAAAAAGCTGTAGCATGAAGTTCGTGAATATCTTTAAAAATTTAATGTGTATGAAAAGATTTTTTAAGTGTAGGTATTATATATAGATCAGGCCCTGGAACTAATATTACATTCAATAGTACTTACCGAACTATGAGAACTACTACAATTAATATAGGAATGACGACAATTTTTGTTTGTTTGTCCGTCAGATAGATTGTTGAAAAAGATTAAACCCATATTTTTTATTTTTTTCGTAATCATAAAATGACGGCGTTACATTGAGTTGAAATTTCGCATGACGTCACGCTATGGTACGTTTTCTACTCAACTGTGACGTAGCGAACCCCCACTCCTCAACTTTAATGCCTGTTATCTAATCTATTTCTTGTTAAATCAAATAAAAAAAAAATACGTATCTAATATTTTTCTATTATCTGACTGACGGACTAAAAAGATTTTTTTTTTTTACCCAGTCATCATCCGTATTATCTCGAGTTTGGGTGTGATGTTGGTGTATATATTTATTGCCAGGTGGTGAATGCTTTTAAGGCAGGCGACGGGAATAGGGCAGGCGTGATCCCGGCGAGACAACTCCGTAACCTGCTGCAGAATTGGGGCGAAGGCCTATCCGCTAGAGAGGTATACAAGACTAGCTTTCCGTCAGTGTCCATATAAACTTCACACCCCCTATTTCAGCCCCTTAAGGGTTGAATTTTTTAAAATCCTTTCATAGTCCTCACTTACATTATGAAAAGAAGCCCTGTAGTAAATTTTATATTTTTAAGTAGAGCAGTTCCGGCTGTGCATTAGTATATAAGTCAGTCTGGTTTACTTTTTTAATCTAATTCAAAATTTAAAAAAGTGTTAAATACTTATCTTAAAAGCGGTTAAATGTTTTAAGAAACATAAAAGTCGGGCGATTAATACTTCATCATCATCATCACCAGTCCTTTTACGTCCCCACTGCAGGGGTTCAGGCCTACCTTATGGATGGTTAAGGAGGATGGGCTCCACGCTGGCCCAATGCGGATTGGAGGGTATTGACGACTGCAAATGCAGCCGGAACCAAGTTCCTTCCGAAGTACGGAGTAGCTCGAGATAATATTTTTTTGGTCACCCATCCCGTGGGCGACCCTTGCGAAAGTTGCTTAACGACTACGATCGCGGGCCGCGGCGCTTATCCACTACGCCACCGAACTACTTTAATAATACCTATTATATAAAAATATTAATATCACTAAAAATAATAAAACTTAAAGCGATGAGAAACCAACTACATTTAATCTACAGTAAACCTCCACCCGATTTCCATAGCATTTTCTTGAATAAGTCACTTTCGAGATAAGTATTATTTATCACTTTGAATAAAGGTTGAAGTTGGTTCTACTTTTTTAAAGTTTTCACTTAATTTTGAAGGCAGTTTATTTTTTGAAAAATGAAATCATTTCCTATGTATTTTCAGACGATTGTTTCCTATGTTTTTCGATACCCATTTATTTATCTTTGAAATACTGTACTATGTATGAAACATATCTCGATCGCTAGATCGTTGGACCTCTCGAGTATGTGAAGTGAAGCGCAATCGCACCGAGTTGGATTAGTGTGGATAAGACAATGTAGCTCGGTGGCGTAGTGGATAAGCGCCGCGACCTGCGATCGTTGTCGTTAAGCAACTTTCGCAAGAATCGGTCACGGGATGGTTGACCAAATAATATTATCTCGAGCTACTCTATGCTCCGGAAGGCTCCAGAAGGACAGTCGTTAATACCCTCGCATTGGACCAACGTGGTCTGTCATGGCTCATCCTCCTTGACCATAAAAGCCTGAGACCCTGCAGTGAAGACGTAAAAGGGCTGATGATGCAGATATTGTTAAATCCCCTCCCTCCTAAATCATCTTGTAATAAATGGATGCCAAATTAATTAACTTTGCACAGGTGGATAACATATTCCGGGAAGCCAACGTATCTAACAGTGGCACTGTGCGGTACGAAGATTTCGTTAAGATAGCCTGCGCCCCGGTGCCGGACTACTATTAGAAAATTTCTAATAGTAGTCGTAAAAACACCGGTATTGTAACCGCACAAACAAAAATGTTTACACGAAAGTATCCAAGACCAGAGTGGTCCAAGTCACATGAGCCGTAATGGCGGAAAATTCTATAGTGACCCAAGTATTCTGGCCCACTATGCTCTATTACTATTGCACTAAGTATCAAAACGCCAAAACAAATTTGTTTAACGCCATCTACGATTTTATACTGAAATGACATTTGAGCCACTCTGGCTACGAATTTAGGGGTTTAAAAAGACGCATTGCCGTGGTCAACTATATCGAAAATTGTGGTTTGGGCCGCTCTGGTTCTGGTGGCCTCAAATATAATAAGTGGTATCAACGGACTAGCGCGATTCAGGTGACAAGTAACGCCATCTAGTAACGGGCAGACGAATCATCGCGCCGCTGCGCTCCGTAACAATATCATATCATGAGGCTAATTCTCTAATTTAAATCTATCGCAATTCCTTTGAATTTAACATTCCTAAGATATTCACGAACTTTAGGCTACTATTTGACATGTGATAGCTATTTCATAGTCTTTTTTTTAACTTGATTTGAACTTTATTTTTAATTTGCCGTTAATTTAAATTTTCTAAGGCAAGCGTTAGATGCTAATATTACATTTACATTACTAAGATTATATTGTTTCTCGATCATTTAAATCATCATTTGTACAGAAAACGCTTGCAATTATAAACGTTACATAATTCCATGAATTGATGTCAAAATTGTTATACTTTTAAAAGGCATAGCAATAGATTTTGAAATTAGTCAATTAGGCCACAAATGGACTATTATAAATCATATATAAAGAGCTCCTAACATTCCTAATGAAGTCAATTTTTAAATAAAATAAGTTTATTTATATGTGAAATTTACATGGGATGTTAGTTGTATTGGGGTCACTGATCTCAAACGTATACATTAACATGGACATTCCTCCGGAATTTAGACAGAAAGTGCATAAAAATTATCTATAATCAAAGACTTGAAGTTGCAGCTTTAAAATAATGTTCTTATTTCTTATTACAGAATATAAAGTATGATACAATAAAGTATTGTTAATAATTAACTCTTTCATGGGACCAATTAATTTATATATTTGTTTTTATTGTAATCATGTTACTTGATTATTTTCTTAGTTAGTTTTAATATAAAAAAATATATCTTATATCAAAGTACTTTTCTTTATCCAAGTACACATTATCTAGGTACACACTTCACTTCAAGATACTACATAAGTCAACATTTCTGCAATTTTGTATTTGATTGTCTACACATTAAGGCTGTAAATCAATTAAAAGAATTTCAAAGTCTATCCTCATATGTTGCCGATTGTACTTAAGCGTCTAACGCCTAGTTGTACAAACGACTAATTTGTTTGTTTAATGGCGACTTTAAGCTCTTCTGAATGTTGCAAATTTGATAAAATGTAACGGTAATGTCTCCAATGACAATTAGACTTATAGTCGTTTCCTAGGGTAAGCACCAAACTCGAAAACTCAAATATTATGTAACCGTTGATGGTAAATGATATGTATCGCTATCCATACACTTCTGTATCGTTTACATGTTGCACTGTCTATTGCTGTACGGGGTGAGATCAACGTGTACAAAAAAAACGCTGTACAAAACTGGAACGATACAGATGTGTATGCATCGCGATACATATCGTTTCGACGCTCACGTAATATCTGTATTATGTTCCATTAACAAATAACACTTGATATTGAAATACTTAAGTATAATAATTATTTAAAAAGGTGAATGGTAAATAAAATATATACTTTTTTATAATTCAAATTGGTTTTTTATTCATAAACATAACAATATAACATGATATGGCACTATACAGTATGGTCCGTAGCTTTTTTATATTAAGCCCACTTCGCGCGGTTCTGTTCCATATACGTATGAGAGATTATATTTGTCCCCGTGTTCGTATGAAACAACTTAAGGCACCATGCGGTACGGGCTTAATATAAACGCGTATGTCTTTAGTAACGACTGCAAAAAAAGCGACATTTGATTTGCGATCTAAATGCGACCTTTAACTTATAAAGTCATAAAACGTGATCGTGATTCCTTTTATGAGTAACGCAACACCCTGACGTCATTTAAAAATAGAAAGTACAGATAGCACAAATGCAATAGATAAATTATTTATTGGAATATTTATCGATTATCCTCATAAAAGGGTTACGATTCGCTGTTCTAAAGGTTAATCATGAAATCCTATTTAATTAAAAAAAAAACGTAAATAACAAGACATTTCCGTTAGCGACTGTACCCGTACAATAAAGCTGTAAGAGTATGCGCTACTCGTGCGATTTCACCATCACACTAATGTGAGCCTTTTAATTGAACTTTGAAACAATTACAACTTCATACGTTTAATTTCGATTAAGCAAGAGGTCTATAACGCAATGTGGTACATAAAATGTCGCTTTTCCCTTTCTTATATCTATAAGTATATAAAATAGCTACATTCCTATAAAAGCGTTTCTTAATTTTTAAATCTTAGAGCGAGTTATATCTTGCAGCACGGTATTGTCTTTTCCCATTGCCCATCCTTTTCTATTGCACTGAACCGTCATTTGCTAGAGCGAGAAAGATAGCGTCGCGGAATCTCGTGGCGATGGAACACGCTACCTTTCTCGCTCTAACAAAAAGCGGAAAAGGGAAACTGGTTGAATGAACATGCTATAAGATATAGGTCAATCCCTAAAAATCTAATCAAAAGACGTTTTGAGTCAGCATAATCGATGACTCATTTACGTACGTCAACACTGCCAAAATTTCTCGTATTTCGGGCTTAATGTAAATGAATCAGCAGACTTCGATCAATTGTAATAATTCTATACATAACTTATATTCGTCGTTAATAAATTGTTTATAAACTAAGAATAAATGGAATGTGCTCTAAATCTATAGGATAAATCAAAAACAGTCCAAAATAACATACAATTAATATTAGGTATATTCAGTTCTGAGTCGTAAGAGCATAATATCGAAGTTGAAATTTCTAATATCTATTTAATAAGGTATAACGGAGATTCGACTAAAGTGACTTCAGTTAGTAAATAACTAGTCACTGTATATTATAAATTTAGACTAAACTAAAATTCTACTTCAGCGTAAATTTACACTGACGCTAAATCTTGTTTATTATAGTGTGCGGGGAAGTGCTAGTTACCTGTGTATGTGGGCAATGAGACAGGGGAGGGCGGGATTGATAAGACGCACATGAGGTATTTAAGGAAAGATAAATCTCAGGATATCATGTTAGAATTTTAACATAATCTAATCTAATCTCATGTTATGTCATTTATACAATTTGAAGCTAAATGGTTCTTTATATCTGCCCACACTAGCTCAATGGGGTTGAGATCGGGATGATACGGCGGAAGGCGAAGAACGATATGACCTGCAGCCTTTAAAATTTCGTCGATGGTGTACATTTTTTTTCGGACTTAATTCTTTTTATCAGAGAAATGAGTTCGGGATTAGTATTTTCTGGTGTAAAGTCAACATTACTACTATCTTTAAGTTTGACATCGTAGATATTTTAGGAGTCAGCTTGACGTGCATTTACCTCACCCGCCCCGCCGCTCGCATACCTCAGGCGGTGACTATAATAACACGGAACCAGTGCTATTGTTGTTTGTTTTTTATTAATAGCATTGACGCGGTTTTCAGAAAAGTATTTTTAATGTTACCTACCATGTAAAGAATATCAATATCACTAAAAACTTCAAATGAATAGAACCGACTACAAAACATTTATTTATTTCATCTTTAATGCATAGAACGAGTCGGCATTTATGTCTATCTTGGTCAAGAAGTTAAACTTGTAAAAGAAACCCAGGGAGCAGAAATTAGTATAGTTGTGTCCTTAATATTATAAAGAGGAAAGATTTGTTTGTTTGTTTACATTAAATAGGCTCGAAACTATTGGACGATTCTAAATTTTTTTTCCATCTACGGATAGCTACATCATACGGGGTTGACATAGGCTTGAATTTAAGTGTGCGGAGTCGAGGGACAACAACAAATTAGTTTTCGTATTTTAGTTTTATTATAAAATGTGAAAATTTTATTTTAGTAAATGTGATATTTTGGAAAAAAATCAGTCTCCGTGTTTCGTCTCTGTTATAGCACGGCATATCCTATCATTGCTGACAACCCGGGCATTTGCTTGTGACAGTGCCAGGAGGAGGTCAAAGTCATCTTAAAATAATACAGTTAAAAATGTTACATTGCAAATTAAAAAAAAATGTGTTCCGGAAGGGGTGGTGGGCGCAATGCGTAATATCAAGTCTCAAATCCAAGACAATAAAAAAAAACACTTCACTACAACTATAAGTCGTAATTATATTTTTTAAATATTTCTATCTCACTCACTCTAAAGGCAGGAACACTATTATTCACTTCTATTTACATGTCAGTGAAAAGAACTTAAATCTAAAAAAAAAATATTTCACAATACAACGAATATCTCCAGACTAAAGTCTAAAATTGTTTGCAGAAGCTCAGACTAATATGCAGCTGTTCTTTGTATGTTTTTTATATTCATTATAATGATAAATCTGAAAATAATATTCTAAGCTCAGAGTACCTCGTCGAAAATCTGAGACTGATGCCCGTTTTCACTATATTTGGGCATCCTCTAAGGTGATAATACATTTCACCAATGACAAGGAGTTGCCTAACGACTTTGGGCAACGCTTAAAGTTAGGATATGCATTGTGCGTAATGTGACATATACATTTACTCTTTGGCCATAACGTCCATGTGTCAAGGGATAAAATCAATGAGGAAGTATTTAAAAAAAAAAACGAAACCACTAAAAAAAGCACCTCCACTACTAACACTACAAGCAAAAGTTGGTTTTTGCAGGAAACGAATGGACCAAAGACAGTCACATCCGTTCCTTTTAACTAACATATTTAAAAACTGAAATTTGCAAAGTTCGAAACTTAGATATCAATACAAATACGAAAAAGTACAAATAGAATATGAGTTTTTCATTGCGTTTTGAAAACTAATTTACTTTTAAACAAACCGGAAGGGTTGTCAGGGAGCAATCAAGAACGTACCGTAGCGACATCTAGTTTGATTTCGGAAACTAACTTTTTTTTTAAACTTCCTCATTAGTACGTTAGAATCAAGAAGTTTATATATTAGAATTAAGATATTTAAATACAAGACCAAATAATTTTTTTCTTGTTTTATTACCTCAAAACATTTTTGATATTGTCTCTCTACGTGTAAAGGCTACTAACGTGACATTGGCGGAATTGTGTAAACGCAAATAAGCCATACATTAAAAAAGAGAAGAGGAACTGAAGCATACAAAATCATAGACAAACGTTGCAAAACTAAGCAAGTGCTTAGTAAAGCATTACATAACGTTACCGGTTTGGTGAAACGACAAGTCTGCTTATACAATTCTTAATATTAAGTGATTTCTAGTTAAGCTATGCCTTGTTCTATTTTAGTGAAAACGGACATTAGTGTTTACAAATTATTATGTATGTCACCCTTAAATATAGCGAAACGTAATTATCTAAATAAAGTTTTTACACAAGATTTTATTTGGTGTATTGTATTTTACAAATATTGGGTGAGTTGTTCAGAAATATGTACGCCGCCATTTTGTTACGGCGGCCATTTGGGATTAATAACAACACCGCTTATATAAATTGCATTGTCATCAGAACTAAAGGTATAACACAAATTTCAGCTCAAACGGCGACTGGGAAGTAGGTGAAATTTAGCTTGCAATATTTGATTACAGAAAGACAAACATCGGGAGGGGTGAAACTAAGGGTATGTTCCGATATACACCGCGACCACTGAACAGTATGACGTCAATTTAGTATACTGGAAGCCCGTTCCTTTATAGCTAGTTATACTGGTGACTTTTTAAAACGGAACGCAGTCCAGTATACTGTTAATCCTATTTTTGGAGCCATTTTCAAATTTGTTAATGCAAGGTGAATATAAATATAAAGATTCCCTCTTTTCAAAAGAAAATTGGAAAATTGTATAAAAAAATTATTTATCAATTAAATCCATCTTATAAATAAACGTAAGTATTTTTTTTTGTTTATTTAGAAACTTATCATTTTCTGATTCTGTTTCGACTGATCACGTGATCAAAAGCACTGCGAGCACCTTACCTCGAAATCTCCAGTGCTCACAGTACAAATATGGCGGCAATTTAGGACGTCATAAATTTCCCTAGGGTACTGTAGCAGTGTACTGGCAGTCCATAACGGAACGGATTTTTCAGCAGTAAGACCACTGCGCAATGCTCGCAGTGTATATCGGAACATACCCTAAATAAAAGCTTGTAATAATAAAAATGACACCTAATTTCCAGAAATACTGAAACCTCCGCTCAGTATCGTTGTGTCAATTAATTTACAAATGTGCTGTGTATAACTCTTTGATATACCGGAAAATAAGAAGAACCGCGAATTGATAAATTTCCTAGGAAATTTATAAACTTTCGTAGGATTCTAAACGAGAGATAAATCTACGTCTCGTGGTAAATTTATAAACTAACGTACCTATTTCCTAGGATATTTATCAATTTGCGGATCTTGTTGTTTTCCGGTGACACTTGAACACTGGCAACTCTCACACAATTTTCCCCTGGCAACACCACAATCAGACATGTTTATTCTTGTGGTGGCCTGTTTTCCTTCGACGGAAGTTGCCCATCTGTCTGAGTATCTGCATGTTCTCATCTTCCACTTCTCTGTCCATTCCTGATGTGCCAGGTATTTGACCGAACAGTTTCAACTTGGTCGGTAAGTAAATTAAACCCAATAATGTTATAACTGTAACAAAAGGAAGACAAATTGTTTTATCTATGCTAAGTAGTCTATGGCACAAGCTAACTAATCATCTTTACTAATATTACTGTATAAGCCATTTATGCATATATTTACTTGAATTATCTACACAAATAAAATAGTAATAAAATAATGTATTTATCTATTTATTTATTTAAAACTTTATTGCAAGAACAGCAAAAGGCGGACTTAATGCCAAGGGCATTCTCTACCAGACTACCAGACAGGACGTAGGGGAGAAAAAAAAATGTACGGCGATTAAAGAATGCAGAAGTTCGAAAAGAAAAACAGAAGCATATATTTATACCTACAAATTAATAATAAACATACATGACATTAAAATATATTATGACATACTTAACATTAAAATACTATATATCGCACACCTAGATCTAAACTACGACAACTCAAAAAACGAATGTGGAGGTCCGACAATACATTTGTTTACGTGGCAGGAGCGCGACCACTGTTGATTCAACAAAAGAAAGCTAAAGTTATCTAGCGGCTCATCCCCGAACCTTTATTGAATCTGTTATGTTGGATAGATGCGTATGATCACAGAGTATTTGAATATTGTACTAAGTCAAAACACACTCAAATTTTTGAATTGTCTCAGTTTAGATCTAGGTGTGCAATATACATATAATACATATAAAATACAATAATTTTTTTTTTTATGGAATAGGGGGCAGTCGAGCAGGCGGATCATCTGATGGTGAGTGATTACCGCCGCCCATGGACACCTGCAACACCAGAGGGGCTACAAGTGCGCTGCCGGCCTTTGAGGGACGAATAAATAAATAAATAAATAAATATATATATACTATATACTATACTATGGTTATGTAAATGATATTTATGACATATATATTTATTATTTTCAATAAAAGATGGAGCTGTACATTTAGAATACCGCGGTGTTATGTTTTGTTTAAAAAGGTATATATGTATTGTCAGTTCCCTTGTAAAGGAGGCTATTTTTGTTTTTGGAATACAAAACTATGGTCGTTTTATGACGCGGTTTTATTTACTCTCGGTGCCTCCTAGGACGCAAGAACATCGGCTTGTTCAATTACAAAGAGAAAAGATTTTTTTTTGGAAAAAAAAGAGATTCTTAGTTTGACATACAAAATGTATGTGTTTGTGCACGTTTAGCTCGCGTTTGGCTGAACCGATTTTTATGCGGTTTTCAACATAGTATTTGTCAGACTCAGGAGGAGGTTTTAGGCATATTAACCGACTTAAAACGTGGAAGTTCGCACTTTAACACGTGTTGCATGTATTGTCCGCGATTATCTCGCGTTTGGCAGAAGCGATTTTGGCGCGGTTTTCAGAAAATTATTTTTAGTGTTACCTATTAAAAAAAAATATCAATTACACCAAAAAACATGAAGTAAAACATAACAAAAATAAAATGGAGTTCCATTTCAATCAATCCAATTTCATCCCTTTATTTACTGTTTTTCAGGATAAAATAGCCAATGTTCACCGCATATAATGTAGCTTCATCATGTAAGTGAAAGAATTTTTAGAATCGGTTCAGTAGTTTCGCAGCATAATCGATGCAAATAAACAAAGAGGAAGTATTTAAAAAAAAACATTAGTTCCCGAAATCAAACTAGATGTCGCTACGGTACGTTCTTGATTTCTCCATAACAACCTTTCCGGTTTTCTTTCATATATAAAAGTAAATTAGTTTTCAAAACTCAATAAACAACTCATATTCTATTTGTACTTTTTTGTATTTGTATTGATATCTAAGTTTCGAACTTTTCAAATTTCAGTTTTCTAATATGTTAGTTAAAAGGAACGGAAATGACTGTCTTTGGTTCATTCGTTTCTGCAAAAATCAACTTTTACTGAGTCGCCATCTAGTGGAGGTGCTTTTTCAGTGCTTTCTTTTTTTTTTAATGTTCCCTCATTAAATCTTTTCTTTTTATAATATTAGTATAGACATATAAATTGAAATAGGCGATGTGACCGCTGACGTCGAAAACGGACTAATTTACTGTAAATTTACTTACTGTTAAGTATGCAAGGGAAGACTACGTAGAAGTTGAGATCTGTTGAGTGGAAATAGAACGCCTCGCTGAAGTACAGTATTATCGTGAGAGTCAGCGACCAGTAACCCATAGACACCACCCTGTACAATAAACAGTACCATTAAAAAAATACATTATTTAAAAAAAATTTCAAGAAAGAAAATAGAATCAACTTCAAAGTTTAAAAAATGATAAATAATACTTACCTCAAGAGCGACTTATTCAAGAAAATGCTATTGTAGTAGGACGGAGGTTTTCTGTGGGTTATTAATTAAATAATAGGCGCCTGACTTCAATAGCATTTTCTTGAATAAGTCACTTTTGAGATAAATATTATTTATTACTTTTTAAAAGTTTGAAGTCTGTGTTATTTTATTTTTTAAGTTTTTAATTCATGCTTTTTAGTGATATTGTTATTTTTTATACAATAGGTAACGCTAAAAATATATAAATAAAAGTAATTGAACTTATTGAAAGGGGCCATCCATAAATTACGTCACACGTTAAGGGGAAGGGAGGGGGTCGACGAAGTGTGACATGGGGGTGGGAAAGTCCTAAATTTCGTGACGTCACCTTTCAAAATCTGTTATAATCTACGTGTTAAAACACTTTAAACAATTACTTTACAAAAACCTTGCAAAATATGTGGCATCACACTAGGAGGGGGGAGTCTTACAAATGTGACCAGCTGTGACTAGGACGGGCGAGGGGCAAAAAAATCATGAAAATCGTGTGACGTAATTTATGGATGACCCCGAAGCTTAGAATAGGGGATTTTGTTTATTTGCTCGAGATATTTTTTTCCAGTAATTCTATACTCATATTACAAAAGAAGAAAGATTTTATTGCTTGTTTGTTTGCATTGAATAGGCTCCGAAACGATTGGACTATTGGGAAATGCAAGTCTGACTCTCGCACGAAGAGTCGCGTCCCGCGATCGTTGTTGTTTGGCAACTTTTGCAATGGTCGGTCACGGGATGGGTGACCAAAAAATTACTATCTCGAGCTACTCCGTGCTTCGGAACGCACGTTCGGTCCTGGCTGCATTTGCAGTCCCTCCAATCTGCAAGCAGCGTGGAACTCCTTAACCATCCACAAGGAAGGCCCGAGTCCCTGCAGTGGGTTACGTACCCACAGGTCTGATGATGAATTAAGCTCCTGTGGCATAATTTGGCTAACTTTAAAATTTATCACAATCATTTTGAATTTGATCATTTGAAAGATATTCACGAGCTTCACGCTACAACTATTTGACATGTATAGCAATTGCGATCGCGAATTTTTTGAATGAGGAAGTATTAAAAAAAAATATTAGTTCCCGAAGTCAAACTGAATGTCACTAAGTTACTTTCTTGATTTCTCCATGACAACCCTTTCTGTTTTCTTTCATGTATAAAAGTAAATTAGTTTTCAAAACTTAATAAACAACTCATATTCTATTTGAGGCTTTTTCGCATTTGTATTGATATCTAAGTTCAGAACTTTTATTAATTTCAGTTTTTTAATATATTAGTTAATAGGAACGGAAATGACTGTCTTTGGTCCATTCGTTTCCTGCATAAATCAACTTTTGCTAGAGTCACCATCTAGTGGAGGTGCCTTTTTAGTGCTTTCGTTTTTTTTTAAAAAACTTCCTCATTGAAGTGATAAGTACAAATATCTTTGAAAGCTATTGGGAAATGTCAAACGAAATGAATTGTCTGTGACATTCATATCATATCATTAAAATCATCATTCGTTCAAAAAGGACATTGTAACTTTAAAAGTTACACAAGTTGCAGTGAATTAAATAAATTAATTTATTATTTTTACTAGCAATAGAATCAAGTTTAATTGTTAATAATAACTATCACAACTGCTATACATTTGAAAAGGATTGTGATAGAATTTAAAATTAGATAATTAAGCCCCTGTTTTGAGGCATAAAGTGCATTGCACTGTGTTAATAAAAAACTTTGGTACTCACGGTCTATAATGTATGTAGAGTGTGCAATGTATTAAAGCTAATGCTTTGAGAACGGAGTACATGCCAAGCATTCTAGATATTGTGAAGTCACCTGCAAAAGAAATAAAAGAATATTACCACTTGTATGCATTAAAATGACACATGAAGGTCTATTCTATTTCTACAAAATGAATGAATCATGTCCAATTTTAACCTAAAAATTTACTACTGCGTCTAGTGATGTGATGTATCTCAAAATGGAGCTTATTTTCTTTTTATTATTTCATATCAGGAAATGAAATAAAATCATTAACGTCATTTGGTATAGAAATTCTATTGAATCCATTATTTGTATAAAAATACAAAACCAAATTGATTCAATATAAGAGTCTCAGATATTCTATTCCCATGTCATTTCGAGACTCACTTCACTTATGCCACGAAACGTTAGTATCGAATACAAGTTTGAGTGGATGCCGCTTATTGAAGTGAATTCAGACACCTGAGTGGATTCGAATTCGGGGTTTTGGATTTTTACAGAATCGCAGGGCTGCGTTCAATTAAGCATATGTTGAGGGCAACAAATTATTAGTCATATATTTGCAATAGATCAGAGTTTATTCATCATCATAATAATAATAATAAAAAGTTTATTTCCCACATTGTTGCACAGTATTATCATATCATATCAGCATCATCATCAGCCGGAAGACGTCCACTGCTGAACATAGGCCTCCCCCTTTGAACACCACGACGGACGACATTGCGCCAGCTGCATCCAGCGGCCGCCTGCGACTCGGACGATGTCGTCCGTCCATCTAGTCGGGGGTCGACCCACGCTGCATCTTCCGGTTTATAGTTTATTAATCTATACTAACATTATTGTGTATTTGACTAATTATATCAACAGAAGTAAATATGGTATGTGTGGATAATTGAAAATTCAATCAGTTATAGTTTGATCTCAGCTGATGGTTTCTTTTAAATATTATAAAGAGGATCAATTTGATTGTTTTTGCATTGAATATGCTTCGTAAATACTGGACTTATTTTGAAAAATTCTTTTGCCTACATCAAGCTGCATCATACATGAGTGAACAAAGCACAATTTACACACTGACATGGAGAAGTCACAGCAAAACAGCTAGTTAGGGTATAAACCTCAAACTGCATAACTGCAGTCCAGATCCATCTTATTCTTTTCATTTTAACAGATACATTACATCAACCACAACAGGGTAATTAACGACATTAACGATATATTGAAAATTGTGGCTATAATAACAAATTTGCAGATTACATAAAATTAAATATTTTTTGACACTTTATCTGAGACGTCAAACACCTTTTAAATGGTCGCAACTCTGATGACGTCACATGCTAGTGCATATGTTGGCAAAATAAATACTTTATTATTATTATATGGCTTCCTGTTCACAATTAAAGTTTGATGTTTGTTTATTTACTTGCATGGGACAGCAAAACCAAAATGGATATTTAGAATAGAAAATCTTTTCATATTTTTCAAAAAATATTAAAGTTTTTCTGCTCTGAAGAATAATTTTGATTTTACAGGTAACTACGTATTTGCTTTCCAGCAACAATATGTATAATACAGGACCACACGGACAAAGCCGCTGATGGAAAGCTAAAAACACTACAAAATTATGGATCATTATTCAAACCTGACATGTAACAACTATAGTGCATACTTGCTATGTGTTAGCATAGACTATCACACTTTTTAAACTAAGTTTTTGGACTGGTAATCCAAATAACATTCAACCAATAACTTAATAATTACAATGCTAACTTTAAATAAAGTTAACATTAGAAATTATTAAGTTAGTAGTTGGATGTACAAGTCCGTAACCAATTTATGGTATGTTTTCACTTTATAAAGTACTTACCATCCAAATGCTCATCACCATTATTGTTTAAAAAGGATCTTCCCTCAATATAAGAGCGACCGGCAGTACCTAAATCCATAAAAGCAACAAACGCTATCCAGCCTCTAAATGCGTACAAAACTTTATTTTGTACCGCCATTACTATCTAATTATGTTAATTTCATTACGATCGGCCCATTAAATGAGTGTGACCTACATGTAAGCCCTAATTTTAGATTTAAACAAGACTTCGATTTCAATGAAATGCGTTAATATAATCACTGAAAACACATATACTACACATTTATAACTAAAACTAGGATGCTTTATGCAATTTTATTAATATGATAGTTCCAGCGTGCATCGCAATGCGGCATTTTACCTGCATTGTATTTATTTTTATAGTAAAACTAATTAAACGTAAATACAACGTCTCTAAGCGCAGACTCCAAAGCTGTCATTGTGGCTGTCAATTGTCATTTAGCGATGTTAAGAAATAATACAGTTAATACCTTTTACCATTTAGGTATCATCCCTGAATCCTGGAATAAGCAACTAGTTATCCCTCTGCTTAAACCTGGCAAAGACCCTTTGGACTATAATTCTTATAGGCCCATTGCATTATCGTCCACCCTTTTCAAAGTGTCAGAACATATGATCAGGAATCGTCTAGAGTGGTTTTTTGAGAGTCAAGGTCTTTTGGCTAAATCTCAGTTTGGTTTTCGAAAGGGTTTCAGCACTCTGGATAATTTAAGTATACTTACGACTGATATTCGTATAGCTTTTAAGAAAAAGCAATATGTAGTTGCTGCGTTTTTAGATATAGCAGGCGCCTATGACAATGTCCTTCTTCCAATTCTCAGACGTAAATTGATTCAGTTGAGTGTTCCTGAGAAGTTGGTTCGATTCATAATTAATTCTATTTCAGCTAGATCTATTGAAATCAAATGTCATGGAGCGCCTTCTATAGTCAGGTCTGTTTGGTATGGTCTACCTCAAGGGTCGGTTTTGAGTCCCCTGCTATATAGTATTTATACTTATGACCTAGAGAGCGTTGTAGATTCATTCTGTCAAGTCTTACAGTATGCAGATGACGTAGCCCTCTATATAAGATCGAATTCAATCGAGGAAGCTTGCTTTCGTCTCAATACTGCGTTAAGTTATCTTGGTGATTGGCTAATGGATCACGGCTTGTCACTATCAGTTTCTAAATGCTGCAGTATAGTGTTTACCAGAAAGCGTAACATTCCTACAGCTCAAATAGTTTTTCAAGATGTCCCTATTCCCATGAATAACCAAGTAAAATTTTTAGGCGTTATTCTAGATTCTAAATTATCAGGAACTCCTCATTTCCATAGTGTTGTAAATAAATGCGAGAAAGGGGTCAATGTTCTCCGTGCTCTTTCGGGTGTATGGTGGGGTGCTCATCCATTCACTCAAAAATTAATATATAATGCCCTAGTCCGCTGTCATTTCGATTATGGTTCCTTTCTTTTAGACCCATGTAATAAGTTGCCACTTGATAAAATTTCTAAAGTTCAATCTAAATGCTTGCGGATTATTATAGGTGCCATGAAATCGTCTCCTATCAATAGTCTCCAGATCGAATGCGTTGATCCCCCTTTGTATCTGCGTAGGCAATTTTTGAGTGATCGATTTTTCCTTAAAGTTATACAACGTGCATCCCATCCTTTACTTAAAAAATTAGAAATATTGTTGAAAGTTTCTAGTACTTCCTCCAGTTCATCGGTAGGTGTCTCTTGTATCCTCCATAGCTACAAAAAATTCCATACTCCTTCCCTTCCCATAGAACGGTATTCTCGTCTTCCTCTTTTTGAAAATAGCTTTGAATCACTTATTTTTGAGCCGATCATTCTTCTTGATTTTGGAATCGACAAAGACTCTCCATATGCCATGCGTACAATGGCACGGAAATTAGCATCGGAATATAAAGGCTGGATTTCTATGTACACTGATGCGTCCAAGCAGCATGTTAATGATCCAGTTGGATCAGCAGTATGGATTCCCGCTCACAGATTAGTATTAAGTTTCAAAATTCCCTCTCTCTCTTCTGTATTTACAGGAGAAGCTTTAGCTCTCCTTGAGGCCATCCTATTTGCCGAATCTCATAACTTTAACAAAACTATCATTTTCACAGATTCACAGAGTTGCTTACAGTCTATAATATCACATCCGTTTCGTTCTAAAAATAAATTTCCAATAATATTTAAAATAAGACAAGCATTGCATAGGTGCCATCTTAAGAAGCTGCTCATTACCCTCGCATGGATACCGGGACATTGTGGTATTCCTGGGAACGAGACAGCTGATGCATGTGCTAAGCAAGCTGTTATAACTGGCTCTTTAAAATATTCCAAACTTTTTCATCACGATCTCTTTGTACTAGCACATGAACATTTAATGAGGTCATGGAATGTTGATTGGGAAAATACTAGAAATAGAGCGGGAAAGTATTATTTTGAAATTCAGAGAACTATCCCCAGTACTCCCTGGTTCTTTAAGGAAAAGCTTTTAAGTAAAAAAACGATTTCAATTATTTGTCGCCTGAGAATTGGACATGTGTGTACGCCGGTTCGACTTGCCAAATTTAAAATTAAAGACAACCCCCTCTGCGATTGTGGCATTGAGGAAGGAACTACGGATCATATTTTATTTAATTGTTCAAATTTATCCATTTCGCTTTATGATTTGCTACCATCAAAAGTTCCACGTCCAACAAATATAAAATGTATCTTGAGTATGGAGAATCCCAGCCCATTCAAAATTTTAGCAAAATTCTTTGCAATCAATAATAGTCTTAATTTATAAATATATTTGTTTTCTATATACATTCTATTTGTATTATCTTTAACAATGTAATCAGATAGACGCGCTCAGAGCTATTTTTTTTTATTTTATTGAAATTCAAAATTTTTCATATTTTATTATTGTCTCTATACGTGTAAAGACCACAAACGTGACATTGGCGGAATTGTGTAAATGCAAATAGGCCATGAATTAAAAAAGAAGAAGAAGAAGAAGAAATAATAGATTTTTATTTTAATCGATTATTATTTTCGTATAGTCGATTTTTATTATCGATTTTCCAAGTCATATTAATCGATTTTTAACCAATCGATTAAATAAATTGCGCGGTTAAATCGATTTTCATAAATAGCGCCATCTATGCGCCAAATGAAAAAACTCGAAGCATTATTACTTAAAAGTTGATTATATAAAAACGGCGCCATCTGTAGGTATGTAGGTATATATGATCGACATTAGAATAACATCGATGTTGACATCGATATCATCATCGTAAGTCCAACATCGATTTTGATATTTATCGAAAACTAAACATTTACATTCATTTTTATAATTTTTTTTTTATTGATTATTATATTTAATTTTTTGCGACAATAAGGTTGTCATTTTGTTGGGGTGCTCATTTAATTTTAATTATTATAAAACTTTTAAAGATACTGAGAATTTCTATCAATAATGATATTTGGTTTCATTATTCCTTACCTTGAAAGTTTAAAAGAACATTTGCTTTGATTTTTACTTTTTAAGTGTCAATTTTTTATTCATATGTTTTTTTTATCTTATTAATTGTTAAAATGAATCTTTTAGGTTTATTATTGGAATATGCAAAGCATGTAGGATTTTAAATATTAGAAAAAGAAAACGATTTTTTCGCAAAAATCGATTATTTATTTTCATTAAAATTGATTATTGACAAATCGATTTATAATTTATAAAAGAAAATCGATTTTTTTTTAATCTCACATCCCTATTGTCATTGGCTGTCATTTTCCAAGTCCAGTCATTTGAGAGTAATTTTCACTTAAAGGAAAATAGAGATGCCCCATTTACGACAATGAAATCCTATACAATCTACCGATTAATTGCGCTATTTAATTAGTGGATTCTTAGGAAAATTAATAAATATCGATATCGTAGAAACAGCTACATTGAAATATCGATATGGAAAAATGAACTTATCGAAACCTAAAATCGAATGAAATTCTAAGAGTTCATTTAGATCTGATGTCCATTTCCTTTATCTGACGAAATTTTCACATATGAAATTACATTAGTAACACGTATTACATTATTTGTAACCCAAATTTTTTGCTATGAAACTTGTAGTAAATTTTATTATTATAATTTGTACTTCAATATAAAATAAAGTTTGCCGAATCTAATCGGAATTTATACAAGTTGGCAATTAGACATTTTGCCGTTATGACCAGAAGCATGCTTTCTGGACCCCTTTCTTTGAAAGCAACGCGCAAAGAATGGCACGATCGAGGAATGCTTTGTATACATCAAACGTCACGTTTCTCGGGTCAAGAGTGAGATATCATATGAAAAAGGTGACATTTGGATGTAAATAAAACGCTCTTGAGTTCGTTATGCTACGCGTGCAGGATTCAAAATTACAAAAGTAGGAACAGGCTTAGTAGCCAGGCAGTAGCCGTTAACTTTTATAAGCCGATTTTTTTAAATACATTTTTGATTAAACGTATTTTAATTTCTACAAACAGGATTTTTGTAGTTAATTTTAACCCATAAAATATATCAAAAAATATATATATCTTTATCGAATTTGTGTAGTGATATATTGATAATTACTGAAACCGATACATATCGAACTCGAGATATCGATATTTTATAAAACTTGTATCTCTAATCATGAAAGCCGAGGCCTAAAATAAAAATACTTCCTCATTAAGACCAAGGGAATTAGATTTAAGCCTAAAAAGTATCACAGATTAAATTTATTTATCATAGATTTAATTATATTTATAGAACCATCCGGTATACAAGCGCTACATGTTAACAAAAAACTGATTATTAGTGATAAAATGCGACTAAGAAAATTGAAAAATTTATAAACCAAAACCCAAATAAAGACGTAAGTTGCATGATTGCGAGAAAACGAATTACGAGGTTGCGCTTTGACACGGTCTTGATACAAACTTACTGAATCAAACGGCATATTCATTTAAACACAAACTGTTTGCGTTTCTTTACTATAACGATAGAGCAATCGAACTATGTAAATTATTCTTTTGACTAGGACAAAGACAAATGTTGGTTTTATTTTATTCCCTGAACTCTTATTTTGGAATAGATTTATTTATCAGTAGTTATATATTTAACAAATATAAAATAAAACTGACAGAATTCAGCATTACCAAAAAACTGAAATATGTGTTGAAATACCAGAAACGATAGCAAATGGATATAGTAAGAAATTATGCGTCGATGTTTTGGCAGCAACATTTTCATATATAACTGTTTTTGTTTAAGTCAAGCTTTAGAAAATTCTTGTACATTTGTGTTAGGATCTCTTAGACTAATTTACAAGGTGGCAAAGTTAGCCGACCAGCCGCAGAAGCAAAATGGGTAAAACACCCGGAGCACTGAAAATCTTTGATTATATAAAGATTGAAATATGCTATTTGATTATTAATTTCATGTTTTATAAAGATTTTACAAAAGTATAAAAATATTTAAACTTTATTTAGTGAAATGGATCGTATTATATATGTTGCCAAATCAAAAAATGTTACGTTATCCCCTCGCGACTGGTCAGAAAAGCACCTAAAAATACCGTCGCCATATTGGTATTGTCAAAAAGTTATGGATGTATTGGTTCCGATGAAAAAATGGTTTCTCACATGTTAACGTACGAATCTTCGCTTGTAGAGTGATCAAATACTATCTGCTGTGACTTTAGATGTTCGTTTTAATAACTTCGTTGTGTTATTTGGTTTGTGAATGATGTTTCCTATGGAGAAATGTGCGGGTCACAGTGGCACTGGTACTTCGGAAGAGGTCGAGATGTTCACCGGGCCTGTGCCTCCGGGACTGGGGAAGGAAGGTGTACATTCTGACGAAGTAGCTTCGGCTGTGGCCGCTGTATCTGACGAAATAGGAGATATCTTGAAAGACGAGTTAGACGCAGACAGAGCCGATAGGATCGGCGCGGAATTGGCCGATCTAAGTGCCGAACTGGGGCTGTTGGCCGGCCTCGCAGACGGTGATCAGCAGCAAGACTTTCCATCTCTCTTCGAGATAGCTGTAAGTGTCATGGCTGACTCGATCATAATATCGTATTTTCCCACGGTAGCTGATGGCGTTATGATAGATTATTTTCATTTCTTGTTTACAATTCTCCGTAATACAACCATTCACAGTCTCAATTTCTAGTTCTTAACACAAATGTTACTGATATCATACACTCTGATCATGTTATTATGTATGCTTAACTGAAATTTTGAAATGAAATTTTTATCTTTAGAACAAAAAAAAAAATAAGTTTAAAAACTAAAACCGGACTACAGCTAAATAACACACAAAAAAGGTTGTAACAAGAACTTTATTTTGTCATGATCAGTGACATAGGACTATGCTGTTCTTTGATCATTGCTATTATAATATAGCTATAGTTATAAAACAAATTTCTTGTTGCAAACTTTTTAGAAAGTGATTTTATATATATATTTAAAATGTTCTAATTAAGCCCTTTCATTTGATATCCCATATGGAATGATTGATTATATCGACGCTGGAAAGCAAACACGTAGTAACCCGCAAAACCAAAATTGTTCTTTAGAGCAGAAAAACTTTAATTTTTTTTCGATAAATAATTCCTCTAAACGTCCATGGTAACAAATTAGGTGTTCCTTAGTCAATTTATACGGAGAGAAGATATTTTTTCTTGGAAAAATATAAAGATTTTCCATTCTAAATATCCAATTTGGTTTTGCAGGTTACTACGTGTTTGCTTTCCAGTGTCGATATATATTTTTTTTAGTTTCTTACTTTATGCTCTCTAGCGGGCACTGTTGCCAATTTAATGTAACGTCACACAGCCAATAGCATGTCAAAAACTAAGACGCTTCTAAGATACCTGATTTGTCCAGTTACAATGAGTAGTTTCGAAGTTATAAGAGAACAGATGAACACTCTTACATACCAGCCAAAATCATAACCTTCCTTTTTGCTTTGGTCATAGTCCGTTAAAAAAAATATTATTTTTCAAAAACAGTTTCATATGTCATATAATGAAACAACTACACATGTCACTATATGACCTCATCACCAGCCCTTTTACGTCCCCACTGCAGGGGCTCAGGCCTTCCTTATGGATGGTAAAGGAGGATGGGCCTTGACTCCTCCACATAATTTTCGGTCACCCATCCCGTGACCGACCCTTGCGAAAGTTGCTTAACGATTACGATCGCGGGCCGCGGCGCTTATCCACTACGCCACCGAGCTACTCTATGACCTATGACCATCATATGACGTAGCTTACCATAGGTGGAAGAATCTGGTCTAGTTGTTTCAGACCCTATTCAATGCAAACAAACTTATAATCAAACATTGCTCTTTATAATATTAGTATAAACAAACAAACAAATTGTTTATCCTGTCCAAATTGCTTTTTTTAAACATTTTCCATAAAGAATATTTCTCAGTATATCATTGTGCATGCAAAATTAATCAAATATAATAATAACTATTTGTTTAGGCAAAAGACTGGTACTGGTTCTTCAATAAAACGTTGAATACAGCACAATATACTTATTTATTTTGATAATATTTAATATAATTGTGGAGCGTGATTTACATAGTGCGAGGTCTTGTGATTGAGAGAGAGATTTATAAAAATAATTTCACAAGCACTGTCTAATAGGAACGCCTTTTTTAAAACAATAGCAACGTTAGGCGACTTGCTACTAATAAAACGCAAGGCGCCTCCAGGCGCGAACACTATTCTCTCCATTTTTATCACATTACACAAAATTAAAACATTATATAATCTGTGAAGATATCTGTTGTGTTGACAATAAAGTGTTATTATTATTATTATTATTATTATTATATAATAATATCTAATGAATTTCATTGTTTAAGAAATAGAATAGGTCCTCAGGTTTTATGTTGATTCTTATTAGAATAACAGAGAAATGATTAAAATCCATTTTAAATAATTATTGTTTGATAGTAATAATCATAAATTTATTGTAATCTCTATTAGTAATATAAATGTGGTGGTTAAAATATGATAAAGAAGGGAAAATTTTAATGGTGTTAATAGCAATAGCAATATTATATAAAAAATGCCATCAGTTATTGAACTTTGTAAATTAACATGGTGGTACTAATTGGTCAGTAATAACCTCTAATTCAAACTGGCCAAGTGCCAGAGCTTGCTATGGAAATATGCCAGGAGATAGTCTGTAACTTTTTTTCAAACATATCAACTTATTTATAAATAAACAAACCAGTTTTATTCCCCCATCATATATCATAATATTGTAAGGAGGTGAGCTCTATAGAATAAGCTCCGAAACTACTGACCTGATGTAGGAAATTCTTTAAACTATGGGATGCTATATTATATGAGGGTGACATCACTACATAGTATAAAACAAAGTCGCTTTCTCTGTCCGTATATCTGTATGTCCCTATGTATGCTTAAATCTTTAATACTACGCATCGGATTTTATGCGGTATTTTTTAATAAATAGGGTGATTCAAAAGGAACGTTTTTATGTATAATACAAGACCATGGTGGCCCTATGTATGCTTAAATCTTCAAAACTATGCATCGGATTTTATGGCCTTTTTTTAATAGATAGGGTGATTCAAACTGAAGGTTTTTATGTATAATACAAGACCACGGTGGCGAAGCCACTGGTGGAAAGCTAGTAGGATATAAATTATACAAGCAAAGTTAGGAGAATACATTTATTAGTAATTAAGATTGAGATACGAATAACAAAGCGTTATACATTACATTACATTGCACATACACTAGACCAGTGTAGTACAATGCCTGTTCTCCCAAAGTCCAATCCATAATAAGGTGCCACGGCAGCGGGGAAATTAATATGTTGATAGAATAGTGATAATAGATATAAGAGTTATCAGTTGTCAAAGACGATGTAATCTCTTTTCAGATGGGTCACCGTGGCAGTGGCAGTGGTTCTTCATCGTCGTCGTGGTCTGGTGGTCGCGGGGGGCGGCGCTTGTCCCGCCCCCAGCGTGCCGCTAGACGCCGCCCCATAGCTAAAGGAAAGGAGGTTAGTTAGAAAAAACTTTATGCTTCAAATAAATATTTAAAAAAAATAGAAAAGACTGTCTATCTCATGAATCGTGATAGACAGTTGAAAATTTCATTAACCATGTATTTCTGTTGTCGCTATGACAGCAAATACTAAAATAATATAACAATAAAATTAATATTTCAAAGGACTTTATATAACAGACATTGTTTTTTTTGCATTTTTCATAAATCATTGTATGGAAACCTTCATGCACGAATCCGGCTTGCACTTGACCAGTTTTTTTTTATTAATTAATATAATAAATAGCAAATGCAGAAGGAAATACAGAGAAGAGTTTGCAATACATGGTCACGATGTAATTCAATTTCTGTATTCCTAAAAAGAAAAGTTTTTGATACCTGTATACTTCCAGTGCTAAGCTATGGATGCCAAACATGGTCATATTCAAATTACACAGTGTCAAAACTAAAAGCAGGGAATTGAAAGAAGTATCCTGGGTGTTAAACTTAGAGATAGGCTTCGTCTTCAGGATATAAGGAGGAGGACAGGTGTAGTAGATGTAATCCATAAAGTGAAGACCTTAAAATGCAAGTGGACAGGACATATGATGAGATCAACAAAACCAAAATGGGCAAAAGATATCACAGAATGGTACCCTCATGACGGACAACGGAAAAGAGGTAGGCAGATAAAGAGATGGGAAGATGACCTACCGAAGGGATGGAGAAGAGCAGCCAGAGATAGGAGGGGATTGGACTAAGCTAGAGGAGGCCTTTGTCAAAGGACAACCTGACGGTACAGATGCCGATGTCGGTGGAAAAAACTAAATTGTAACTATAATTGATATACAAAGTCAGAGAATAAAGGCTATTTTTATTTTTATTATTTTATATAATAAATTAAATACCACTATATAATTAATTAAATACCACAAGTAAAAGATTTAAAGACTTATGACGTCATGGATTAGTAAACAGTGCAAGGAAATTATCTCCCTTCAATATTAATAGGAGTACTTTGACTAACAATGGTTAATACATATTAAGTTGTTAAGTAGTTAACTAAATTTTTAACTTGCAAAATATTGCTTTTTTTTTCACCGGTGGTTTCGCCCGCGTGGTCTTGTATCTATACTATACTAATATTATAAAGCTGAAGAGTTTGTTTGTTTGAACGCGCTAATCTCAGGAACTACTGGTTCGAATTGAAAAATTCTTTATGTTGAATAGACCGTTTATCGAGGAAGGCTTTAGGCTATTTAACATCACGCTGCAACTATTAGGAGCGAAGAAATAATAGAAAACGCGGACGAAGTCGCTGGCGGCCACTAGTTATACATAAAAACCTTCCTTTTGAATCATCATCATAAAACTTATTATTGCTAATTACTTATTTTTGTATTTATGTGGATGTTATCATTTAAAATTAAACTAAAATCTACTTACTATTTATCTATACTAACTTTATCACTTAAGAGTAAGTTAAAATCTACTTATGTAGATTAAATCAGCCAATGAGTGTGTCTTAGGTGTGCCGTCGACGAGCGGCTGCGGCACGTCGCGCTGTGTCGATGCGCGTCCGACGTCCGGACGGCTCGGACGCGTCCGACGTGGGCGCCGACTCCGATTCGGACGACCAATGGACGGAACTGTCCGACCAGTGTGAGTAAAGAAGCCTTATTGTTTCTTGAATAGGAATGTTAAGAGGTTTAGGGTTAATATCTAACTATTGCTATTAATGAACAAGGTTTGGCATCAGAGTAAATTTATGCTAAAATTGCAATTTTAGTATTAGTTCAAATTTATATTTTACAGAGAATAAGCAAACCTACTACCTTCTAGGAGTAAATAATACTCCTGTAGATCCTCCTCCTAGGTTAATCTTTGCCAAGTCTCTGTTTAATAATATCAATTTTTACTTATACTAAGTGCAGTCTCAGTTTAAACCTTGTATATTAATAACACGGTGTTTCTGACGTATGTGTATATATTTTATATTTTGGTCATTTTGTTCTGGTAACCCTAAAAGTGACAGTGAATTGTGACGTCACATATCAGTCGCGCTTCAGATTACCCGATTTTGACATTAAAAAATGTCTATTTTAATGGTTAAAAATATGATAATATGCTGTTTTTATTATAACCAGTATGAGTTATCTTGACACATGTTGGTATTCTATGGAGATTGGGAAAATGTCGAGTTGTTCTTATAATTTTGTTACTATCTGTGCATTAGACGCAGTGTCAGGTACTACCTCCGTTTTTGTGTAGATTGGCTATAACCAATAACCGCAACTATTAGACGATCAGTCAATATTGTGTCCATATATACATTTTTAGTATTGTTTAAGACCCTATATTTTTGTCATTTAAACCTATATTTTAATGTTATTATAAGTTTTGTGAAACTAATGTAATAGGTACGATGGGGTTGACATATCCATATGGATAAAAACCCCAAATAAAATTCAAGAAATAAAAAAAAAAAACTACCTCCGTTGTCTTATAAATTATAGAAAAATGAGTTTCGTTTCTATGTTTTGAAAATAGATGAAATTAGTTTTCAGAGAAATAGTATATTTTAATTCGTATGAGTTAATTTTTATTATGTATTGCAAGCCTATTAAATATTCATAGAGTAACCATTGCATCGTTTTATTACAACAGTCCAAGACACTTTGGTGTAGTATTAGACTAAAATATAACCATCATCGGCCCTTCTACGTACCCACTGTAAGGACTCGGGCCTTCCTTGTGGCTGGTTAAAGAGGATGGGCCATGACGGCTTTTTGAGAAATGTTTCTATCGTGTACAAGAATTTTGTAATAATAATAATAATAAATTTTTATTTCGGACATCCAAGATCCATATCGTTGTTCTTATGAACTTATGTTAGCAGTACACATACACAAATAATTAATATGGGATCGAATGTTGATGGAATATTTCCCTATTTTATAAATACTTGAGCACAGTGTATGAAAAAGGGAATATCCCGTTTTCCAGTTATTGTATGTAGGATGATGTTGGTACTGATGCGTGTTCTGTGATGAAATAAAATGAAAATGTCTTTATTCAAGTAAGCTTGTTACATGCACTTTTGAATAGGCTATAAAATTTTTTCCTCTACTACTTGTTCAAGCGAAAGAAACTTACCAGCTCTCTATCATAAGTAATGACATTTATATAAATCATGTCATTACCAAAATAATATGTATTATCACAATAATAAATACAACTTTCAAAGTCTGTAGGTCAAAGATTGTACATATAATTTAGTCGTTATAGAACAAAGCGAAGGCTATTAATTCTATGCATTCCTGTACAGTAAGGATGCTATTTTCTTACGTATACACGCTCAAAACCCGTCTGTGCGTGCCTCCGCAAACATGCCTGACGCACTGCAGAACCGCGGAAGCCCCAACAACATCCTAAACGCATATTGTTGGAATGTAACTTTATTTTTTATGTCACAAAAGGCAAAAATAAGTGACACTCATGTTATGAATTAACAGTTAAATCACAATAAAGTACTTACTTAATTATTACTTACTCATCAGGTACATCGGACACCTCATCATCGGGTAAGGAGACAACTAATGTCAACGATGTGGAAGGTTACTCTCACAAAGGGACGGTAAGTTATAAATGAATATTAAATAACATCACATATATTGCTCAGATTCCAAGATGAGTAGCTGAAGCCCTTTTATTATCGAGTATCTGAGATAACGAAAGTACCAACCACAACACCCAGACCCATGACAATATAGAAAAGTAATTATTACTCCCGTAGAACCTCGTCCTAGGTTAATCTTTGCCAAGTCTCTGTTTAATAATATCTGTTTACTAATACTAAGTGCAGTCTCAGTCTAAACCTTGTATATTAATAACACTGTTTTTTTGACGTATATATTTTATATTTTGGTCATTTTGTTCTGGTAACCCTAAAAGTGACAGTGAATTGTGACGTCACATATCAGTCGCGCTTCAGATTACCCGATTTTGACATTAAAAAATGTCTATTTTAATGGTTAAAAATATGATAATATGCTGTTTTTATTATAATCAGTATGATCTGAAACTCCATTATCTACATAGACCGGACAACTTGAAACCGGTGTGCGAATCACTCGGCTTCTTGTTATAATTCTCTCTGTCTTACCTTAAAGGAAATTTCTTGAAAGTTTTAAGAATTATTTTACGATTTTTAGGGTTCTGTATGTAATGGGTAAAAACGGGCCCCTATCAGTGAGACTACGCTTTTTGTCTGTCTGTCCATCATAAACCGTAACTAGGAAGTTTCATGATGTTGATATTATTGTATTTAACACGATATATAAAAAATATAGACCAAACTAAAATAAATATGAAAACAAAATTAAATTCCGTTAATAAATTTATAAAATATTAATATACTAATATTAAATTATTTTTAATAAATTAAATAAATATTACACAATATCACATACGTTGTTCAGATTCCAAGATGAGTAGTCAAAGCCGCCGTGTTATGGAGTATATGAGAACGAAAGTAACACAACACCCAGACCCGACACAATATAGAAAAGTTCATTTTCTACATTGACCCGAATGGGGATCGAACCCGGGACCTCAGAGATGGCGACACCTTGAAACCGGCGTGCGAACCACTTGGCTACGGAGGTCGTCAAACCAAGTTATAGATTATTTAAAACTGCGTGTTTTCGCACGTAACGTCTTTGGTATCCGCCTCGCCTGTGACGTCACAGCACCCAACCCGTAGATCGTCGCACTAGAAATTAAATAGAAGTCTTTGCAAAACAGTTATTATTATAATCCACTTATTGGATACTCTGGCTTTGCTTTTTAGTTATTAATGGACATTAATTTTTTTTTTTTATGTGAATGTAAACTATATTTTTATAGTTCTATAATGTAAAAATAAACTATAATAGTTCGGGATAAAAAATAATGCTAGACAAGGACTAGGTAAAAAAGTCCGTGGATCAGATAATAGAACAATATTAGATAGGCATTTTTTTCGCTTTAATTTAACAAGAAATGGCTTAGGTAATTAAAGTTGAGGAATTGGGCTCGCTACGTCACAACTTTGTAGAAAACTAACTGTTGTCCCGAGATTTTGCACGCATCTACCCTGTTTGATGGAAGACGACACGTAGATGAAAGAATCAGTCAATTCTTTCCTTTATAATATTAGTATAGATGTACAAAAGCGTGACGTCATGCGACATTCCAGCTCAATTTATCACTATAATTTATTAATTAAGCGAAAAAATAAATAAATAGAGTTTAATATTTTTCAATATCAACCTGAAGACAAACTGAAATTAGTCACCACTCCTATAAAATTCACAATCCGACACTTCATTTATCCATTAAAAATTACGAAAATAAACCTCTAGCAAAATACAGCGCTACACTTCACTATCCACTTCACTTCATAATACTACTAGATCGACCAAATAGCTCATTGCACTAGTGATCGCTAAGAATTTCGTTTGTATTCTCTCTCTTATTGAGTTCACTGAAAGAATGCCGGGATGGGCAGCTCACCGCGTGTTTGTAGGTGCCGAGGTACACTTGCCAACATATAGAATGTTCTAGGTTAGAACTTAGAACATTCTAGGCTGGGTAGGTATTCGCGGCGTTACCTAGCAGTGTTTTTAATAAACAAGTTTTAGCGTTGGAGTAAATTTACGCTGAGACTGCACTTGTATTAGTCGAAATTCATATTATTAAACAGAGACTTGGCAAAGGTTTACCTAGCACGAGGTTCTATGGGAGTAATATTTTCTCCTAGAAGGTAGTAGGTGTGCTTATTCTCTGTAAAGTGTGAATTTGGACTAATACTAAAATTGGTTTATTAATAGGATTTAGGAACTAATACTAATAGTTATTTAAGATAAGAGTGCGGAAAGCAAGGGTGTTTAGGGTTTTCATTGGCACGAATTCGAAAAACCTTTTACGCTCAAGTTTCTTACAACATTTTTTAATGCTTTTTGCGAGGAAATAAAACAAATATATTGGTTAATAAAACTAAGTATGTATTAAAGGTAAAAAATATTTGTTAATATTTAACGTGATATTTGAACATGTTCCGTGTCATACATTTTCATTTGAAAATATTCGTTCTAGGCTCCTTGAAATACTTTGCCTCTAAAGTTTGACATATTTTCATTTATTTTTTTTTTAATTTCTTTGGTGCTTGGCCAAAAAAAAATAAAAAAATACTTTTAAGCACGTGTGCAGTAAAGGATTTCAGTACATTTTTATTTAACAAGTGTTTAAAGACTGACTTTCGGTGTTTGCAATGGATTAAAAAAATAGCGCTTTATGAGCTGCATTGAAAAATTTGTTTATTAACCTTGTTTATTAATAGGACTATAAAATCTTCAGTGACAGTCCTTTTCTCGCCTACGTATATACGCGTCTAACTCGACGGTGTTAGGGCGATTCAGGTGACACGTAGCGCCATCTAGTAACGAGCAGTCGCAATTATGTTCTTGTCATAGTAATATGGTGTTATTTTCTTTGCAGGTGGAGGCGCCGGCTATGGGTCAGTTTTTGCTGCCACTGCTCAGCGCTGAGCCCAATTCCCCTGAGGCTGAACAATTCTTGATACGCCACGAAGACATCTTACAGGTACATAAAACAATATTATGAACTACTAGCTTTCCGGTAGCGGCTTCGCCCGCGTGTTTTCCTAGGGAACTTGTTTGGTAGGATAAAAAGTAGTCCATATGTTAATTCAGGCTTAAAGTTTAATTTCATAACTCATTTGAATAAGGTTTCATATCTCGACACGCATATAATTAAAATGACAAATTGAATAGTAAACAATGGTTACTATGGTAACTTTTGAATAGTAAAAAATGGTTACTATGGTAATTTTTAATTCCCTATACAAATTTCCTCTCCCATTTTAACCCCTATATTTGATGTTTTTCGGAATAAAATATATCCTATGTCCACCGCATATGATGTAGCTTTCAGTAGGTGAAACTATTTTTAAAATAGGTCCATTGGTTTCATAATCTACTCATTGCAAACAAACAAACAAATCTTTCCTCTTTATAATATATACTCTTTATAGTTTAGATGGCATTCGCGTATGATATATTGAAGAATTTCGTACGTTCATATTTTGGGTTAACTTTGCTATGACAAAATTGTCTAGATGCATCTGCGCGAGCGCAACAGCGATATCTTTGCGGACGAGTGAAAGAGACACGTGATGCCGGGTCATTGTACGAAAGTCTTTTTGTTTCGCGACCGTGCTATATGGAGTTTTTTTTTCTATACGGAAATAAAGAACTTCCATTAAATCCGTCAGTCAGAAAAATATTATACGCATATTTTTTTCTTTCAATTTAACAAGGCTTGGATAACAGCCATTAATGAGGCTCGTTACGTCACAACTGTGTAGTAAATATACACGGCGGTGACGTCATGTGACATTTCAGCTATAAATGAAAATATACGTGTTTTTGTCGTTATATATAGTTGCTTGCGTCAGCACAAGACAGCATCCGTGAAGAGCCACTGTCGCTGGGTGATGAGGTACCGCTCGATTCACAACCGGATATGTGAGTATTAATCTAGTAGGATTCCGCCATATTTCGCTCGCATGTTTCCTAGGACTGCTTCGTGAAATAAAAATCTGTTTTTTTTTATGAGTAGCTCGGTGGCATTAGTGCCGCGGCCCGCGATCGTTGTAGTTAAGCAACTTTCGCTGTGGTCAGTCACGGGATGGGTGACCGAAAAATTATTATCTCCAGCTACTCCGTGCTTCGGAAGGAACGTTAAGCCGTTGGTCCCGGCTGCATTTGCAGTCGTTAATGCCCTCCAATCCGCATTGGGTCAGCGTGGATGGTCATGGCCCATCCGTAAGGAAGGTCTGAGCCCCTGCAGTGGGTAAAACGGCTGATGATGATAAGTAGTTTCGGAGTCTATTCGATGCAAACAAACAAACAAATCATTCCTCTTTATAATATTAGTATAGATAAAAATGTGCTAAAAAATATGCTAAACTAGTTTAAATATTCTAAATTCAATAAGACCGTCTGTCTGTTTATTGTCAGGTTGTCAGATAACGACATGTTCTCGTGTGAGGATGAAGCGCCTGTCACACCCGAAGAGGAAGCAGCCTTATTGCATTATGTCTGTGGTATGTAATAAATAGCTTACAATATTTTAAAGCTTGTAGTGGACCTTAATATTAACACTTATTAGTCGAGATAAGTTATTAGCAGAGGTCGGAATTAGGTAGAGTTATTTATCTACTTGCATCAAAATGTTGATATTAATGTGGACTTTCCCGGGATTTCTTTATTTCTTCTTTCTTTATTTCTTCCTTTCATTGATGTAAGTTTGGCAACGTCGTGCAGTAGTTTAAATTGTGTAAAAGTAAATAACTTTTTATTTAAAAAATCACGGTATTTTTTCTGCTCTTTAAAATTAATCTCGGAATTTCAGGCATATCCACTTTATTCTTTCGCTGTATGAAATCAGTGTAAGTACATGAATAACTCTACCTAATTCCGACCACTGATAATGAGTTAAGAAGTAATCACCTATCCAGTTGCTGGATCATCTCAAGTCCAAGCGTTCTTATCTGTTATATAATCGGATACCTTATAATAAGCTTTTTAATAAGTATTTTTTCAAACTATTTAAAATGCAGTAGTGAGCTGTTACTGCATATTCAACAGTGTTGTTATTAAAATAACTAACTACATATTATGTGGTAATCATTAGTACATACTCTAGATAAATTTACAAACCGAATGCTTTGATTAAAAAAAAAAAACAAATAAAAAATATTATCAGTGGTTGTAGAAAAAAATTAATAAGGTTTGAATTGGACTTTCAGACGATATGAAAAACTCAAAAATAGAAGTTTAGGCTCGAGATGACAGTATACTCTTAAATAGATTATTTATGTGAACAGAAGGTGATCGTTCCGAAGAAGATTCAGTGTTCAAACCAGTTGAGGAGTGGCTCCTGGGTGTTTACCACTCGTGGTGCGAGATATCAGCTCTTATGTATACCCTGCGAGGTACCAACATGTAAGTATACTATACTATATATCTACAATTTTATATTAGGCTAGCTTTCAGACACTCTAATTGAAAAAAATGTAATTCTATTTAGTCCGTCAGTCAGATAATAGAAAAATATTAGATACGTATTTTTATTTGCTTCAATTTAACAAGAAGTAGCTTAGATAACAGGCATTAAAGTTGAGGAGTGGGGGCTCGCTACGTCACAGTTGAGTAGAAAACGTACCATAACGTGACGTCATGCGAAATTTCAAGTCAATGTAACGCCGTAATTTTATGATTACCAAAAAAATAAAAAAATACGTGTTTAATATTTTTTAACACTCTACCTGACGGACAAACAAACAAAAATTAGTCATCATCCCTATTACTGTTATTAATATTTTTAAATCAATAAAAAAATATAATTTTCTAATATTTGTAGTCTGTGTCTTATGTCAAGTAAATCAACAATCAGAGCGCGAGACCTCGTTTTTGGGTAAATTTATAGTGAAATTATCTAGGGTTACCTTTCCGCTAGCGGCTTTGCCCGCGTACTCCCTGGGATACTGTTTATTTGGATATCGATTCATATCACGACACGGATATAATAACACCGACAAATTGAATAGTGAACAGTGGTTACTGTGGTAACATTTTAATTATAATAATCAGAGTAATCGTAATTAAATAGAATAAATGTAATGAATATGATAGTGAACTGAACTAGCGTATCGAATTTTAGAGGTCAGTAGGGGCGGCAACAATTGAATAGCCTACGAGCGGCAAATTTATAAATCTCAGGTGCTCAGGTGCTCAGGTGTGCTAATCAAGCATAGTTTTGAGGTGACACTTTTTGATTGCGAGCACCGGTCTACCCTTTTTTATTGTAACATCGTTTAATTCCCCATACAAACTTCCACTCCCATTTTCATCCCTTTATTTGCTGTGTCTCCAGTATAAAATATATCCTATGTCCACCGCATATGATGTAGCTGCACGTAGGTGGAAGTATATTATAATTCGTTCCAGTAGTGCGATTAGTTCGAGGTCTAAAGTTATGGATAATTAAGATTATGTAGATAATATTTAGTAGTAGCTCGGTGGCGTAGTGTAAGCGCCGCGGCCCGCGATCGTAGTCGTTAAGCAACTTTCGCAAGGGTCAGCCACGGGATGGGTGACCAAAAAATTATTATCTCGAGCTACTCCGTGCTTCGGAAGGCACGTTAAGCCGTTGGTCCCGGCTGCATTTGCAGTCGTTAATACCCTCCAATTCGCATTGGGCCAGCGTGGAGGGTTTTTGAATGATTAAAATTGGACGTTTGGCTTTGAAGTTATGGCGTATTTAAAATATAACGATTTCTACTGCACGGCCCGTTGCGAAGTTTAGATCTATGAGAAAGGTACTCACTCTTTTTTAATGAGGATGAGTGAGGACCTCATTTTCCCTCGTGAGGGGCTCGCGAGTTGCCCCTCATTTGAGGTGACGTTAGGTAATGTTATAGTAGCAGCGAATGAGTACGTAGCGCGCAACGTTGCCGTTTGGTATAAAATGAGGGAGGGAGTCGGTAATAATGCTAAACAAAACATATTTTGTCTTTAGATTCTAAGTAATAAACTTTATTATATTATTATTTAACAGAATGACCACAACACGCAACTTATTTGCAATAGTGTCAAATGTTCCATTTTTAAAATCGATTAATCATTTATATTTCGAATAGAATAATATAATCATTAATTAATTGATTTAAAAAAAAGACCATCGGTATATAAATATGTTTCTAAATAAAACCGATACATTTTTATTAAATTTGGTTTTTACTTTGACTAATTAATATCATTTATCTATAAAAAATAAATAAATAGGTATTTGCGAAGAAACAATAAACATACCTGAATCGAGTGAGGGGCTCATCACTAGAAGCCGCTGGCGGCAACTTTGTTTAGGCATCCATAAATTACGTCACATAGAGGAGGAGGGGGGGGCAACGAACTGTGACATCAGAACAATATTTAGTAGAATTTCTATAGACAAACGTGTGACAGGGGGGGGGGGGGGGTTAAAAATCGTGTATTTTGTGTGACGTAATTTATGGAAGGCCCCTAATAACAGTGTATGCGTGTAGGAGTGTTGAGATGGTGACGTCAGAGTGGATATACCGCGCCCGGTTCCCGTGCCACTGTCGCCTGTGTGTGTGCCTCGCGGACAACGCCCGCCCGCTGAATAACTTCATCAGGGACGTCGTGTGGGCGTTGGCACACGGTGAATATGTCTATACTGTTAAGCTACCATTACATTTGTCGTCTAATGGCTGGTTTACATGTACATTGAGTAGGTTTCTTTTTCAGCTTGATAACAAAAATGATATAGTGTATTCAACTCTGTTTGAAATAATACTTGCAACTCATTATTTTAATTTAAAAAAGGCCATAAAACAAATACACAGTGAGTAGATTTTTATTTATTTATAAGGATGACGACTGTGTGTCACCCCTATTAAAAAAAGAAATAGTGTATTCTACTCCGTTTGAAATAATACTTGTTAGTATTTAAAAAAATGACTTATAATTAAATTTTCATTTCAACTACGTACACAAAACAGATGCTTAGAGTAGAAGATTGAAAGATGTCAATGAAACAAGAACAATGCCATCTAACCATCGATTACGAAATAAAAAAATATAAATAAATTAAGAACAGCGCCATCTAGAAATCTGATTTATAATTATTAAGCATATCTTTAAGACTAAACTGACAGCTATCGCCGCAATGACGTCGCACAATGGCGGCTCGTGTTTCAAGTCACGTGACACACAGACATGAAATCAGGACTTTTAATTTTATGATAATAAGATAATCGTGCGATTTTAAGACTCAAAATGAGATACAGCTTGGTGAGAGACAGACAGACAGAAGCGAAGTTTTAGTTCTTACAGAACCCTAAAAATTAATGTAACTAATTACTTATTTGGCTTCATTGGATTTCGAATTAGAATCTACTTAATTGTGTGTAAAACCAGCCATTGAAAATGTTTCGACTGTATAATAAAAAACTTTTAAAAAATATTATTGAATATTTAAAAAATAAAAGCACATTTTCGAAAGCGTTTTTGAATAATAAAATTATATCAGCGTTATTGATGGGATAAAAATAATGTTAATGACATAAAAAAAAAATTTCAAGGGGGTTTTTCAATTAAAAATTGATAGAGAAGGGATTTTTTAAAAAAGGGGTTTTTCAATTAAAAAGATATGTTAAAGTCATTAGTTTGCCATATACGTTTGTGCAGATGTATTAAATAAATATAGAATAAGTTTTATAATAGCGCGTATGTATGTATGTACAGGTGGCAGCACGGCAGGTGTGGCCGCGTGTATAGTGCGCGCGTTAAGATTGACAGCCGGTTCCACATCGCCCCCTCACTGCTGGGACTTGGGCCGGCTGAGACGAATCCATTATCCACCCGAAGGTAAGATACTATTCATAGGAGGCCTATATATTTATTTATTTATTAAGTTAGGACATAATACAGTTTACAACCAAATTGAGTTTAATTTACAGTAATTATTTTTTTTATTTTTTTTTTATCTAATAGATTATAAACCAAACCTTTGTGGTCTTATGACAATTATAAAGGATGAATAATACTATATTGTATTTTGTATGCATAAAATAAATAATAGAATTAGATTATATAAAATTAATTACAATAGATTTACAAATTAATCCTAAAATTATATATTATCAGTAACAGCAACATCCAAATTAATAAAATAACCAATTATTACAAATTCAACATGATTCAAAAAGCACATCGGTGTTACGTCGCTTGAAGAGACCAAGCTTTCCTGTTTCCCAGCTATACTCCATTCATTATAGCATTAGACAGAATGAAAATAAGGTTCTTTTTATGGTATACTATGTGAGAAAATGTCAACAATCATGTTACTCTTAAGACTAACGGCTAATTTGTTACATATCCACTTAAATACCAGCTGCTATGCTTGGCCGTTGTCTTTTAAGCTATATATTTAACAAATTTATGAGTATTTGACTGACTTAAAACATTTAATAATTATTACAATCAAAAGTGTTCATCTTAAAGAACCTAAAGAAGCAGGGTTAGATAGTTTCGGTACGATTCTCATGTCACTATACCAAATTTAAAACGTTGCCTAACGTTTGAAGGGAACGTTTCGGTAGTACAGCTTTTTAATTTTGTCAGACTATTATTTATTCATAATTGTTAATATCGAAATCTGGGATTGTCATCCATTGTGAATGCTACTGCCTTTCTTGTTGTTTTGCCATTTACAGTGATTCAGTAATTACTGTGTTATTATTGTTTTCTTGTAGTTTTGTTTTAGTTGTTATCCTTTTGTTGTTAAGTTTTGCTAAATTTTGATTCCGGTGCAGGCCCGAGTGGCCTACAACAATTAACTTTGACATTTCAGCAATTTTTTCCACTGCTTAATCAATAGTCTAATAATATCTGAATAAAAGTTATAACACTATTAATAAAAAATTAATGTTGTTTACCTTTATTTTCTGGGCATAGATATAACTAAATTATATTCTCATTATATACATTTACATTTAGAATCAATCCAAACAACAGATAGATAGTTTTATTTCCATGTTGTCTCTCAATAAAAGATGAATTTAGAAAATGCTAGTCTCATCTCAACCCCGAGTTCAAAATTTCAACAAAACTATTATAAATATTTATTTTGTAAATAAAATGTTCTGCACTGCTGCTTCTGAGATCCTCTTTTTTCTAATGTTATAATGAATGGAGTATAGATCATTATACAGACGACACATACGGATAATTGGCTATATGGATAACTGCTACAGTGCTATTAATAAATAAGCTTTAACGTCAGAGTTAATTTTTGCAACGTTTTCATTGCTAATCCGCTCCTATTAATCACACAGCCAGTTGCACAAACATTCATTAAAATTTTCATTAGTCTAAAGCGGCATTACCCATACAAATTTTACATTCATTAGAGCTTAAAGGCGTCATGTAACCTTAATCGATATAGTCCAAAATGTGAAGATCTTATAAGGAAATTGTTTTTATTTCACGCCAACGTAGACCCCCGTTGAATCTCTCGTGGACCCCTGGGGGTCCACATGGACCACTTAGGGAATCACTGATTTAGAGTATGAACAGTACTCATATTTAAACTCACAAATAAATAAAACGGTATTCTGACCCATGTTTCTTGTTAAAGATATAGTAAATCATTAAAAAAAATCTTGCACTTTGAATATTTACCCATAAATGACGTCACGCGCTCTGATTGGTGTTCCATTTGACGTGAGACACAGACTACTAATGTTAGAAAATTATATATATTTTTTTTAATGATTTCAAATATAAATAATTGTTATTTAGCAAATATATTCGGCGAATAATCTTTAAACTTTATGATGTTTGTAATCAAATGCATTTCATTTTTTATCTACACTCAAATCGAAAAAATCGAATTACGAATTCAAAGACGATTCTATACGTACGCACTTTATAAAAGCATATACATAAAATTAAAAATAAAACTCATTATAGTACCGCTATCTTTTTTTATTTATTGAACTAGTCTATAATTTTAGGCTGAATATGAAAAAAAAAGACGCACGCATGCGCAGTTCGAACTGTGAAGAAAAAAATGGCGCACACATAAATCACTTATTTGTAACCTACTTTGTTTAATTTCAATTTTTACTGTGAGTGAAGATAAAGTAGTGTATATGAAACTGCATATAACTTTGGTATTAAAACACTCGAGTCGACCTTTTATCGATTAACAGACTCTCGTGTTTTAATACCCCTTCTTATATGACAGTTGCATAAACTACTATTATCTAATTGCTGTCCGATACGTTGTTGAACATTTATAGAATATTGAACTTTATTATTATGCTAGGAGAGGCGATAATCCACGAGCAACTGTGCCGTCTAGCGCAGCAGAGCGAGATAACCGCCCAGCTTGTAGACAAGATATGCCTCTGTCAGGAGTTTCAACGACCCGCCGATAAACAGTCAGTATTATAATTTATCTTAATACAAATACAAAAAAATATATGGTACATATATTTTTTTGTATTTGGTAAAAATATATGGTACAAAAAAATATATGGTACATATATTTTTTTGCATACATACATATATATTTAGTGAAAAATAGTTATTTTTATATTACAAACTGATAATCCATTTTTTTTTTATCTTTATGATGTTCTTGGTCAACTAAAAGTAAATAAGCATTGAGAACGATATTAATTAAATCAACTGATATTGTAACTAACAATTTTATTCTAAATGTAGAGTTAATAAACTGAGTAATCAATATTAAAAATATATAAGAATAAGAAATATATATATATATATATATATATATATATATATATATATATATATATATATATATATATATATATATATTATATATATATAATATACTGTAACAAGGATATGTCAGATATTTATTTTTATAGTGATGTACCAAAAATATCAATGAGGAAGTATTTAAAAAAAGAAAGCACTAAAAAAGCACCTCACTAGATGAAACGAATGGACCAAAGATAGTAATTTCCGTTCCCTTTAACTAACATATTTAAAAACTGAAATTACAATTAATTAAAAAAATACGAAAATGTATAAATAGAATATGAGTTGTTCATTGACTTTTGAAAACTAATATACTTTTATACACGAAAGAAAACCGGAAGGGTTGTCGTGGAGAAACCAAGAACGTACAGTAGCGACATCTAGTTTGATTTCGGGGACTAATGGTTTTTTTTAATACTTCCTTATTATAACGAAATATGTCGAAGTACCACAATGGGTGTACAAAACAATATTTTTGTCTCGCTAATAATAATAATAATTAATAAAAACTGCTTTTTTTTTCAATCTTATTAACATTTTTGAGAATTTCTTTTTTCATAAACATAAAGCAGTGGCCTTGTACTGGTCCCACTGCAGAGGCTCAGACCTTCCTTATGGATGGTTAATGAGGACGGACCCTCCACGCTGGCCCAATGCGAGGGTATTAACGTATGCAAATGCAGCCGAAACCATCAGCTTAAAATGTAAGCGCGGAGTAGATCGAGGTAATTATTCGGTCACCCATCCCGTCACCGACCGTTGCGAAAGTTGCTTTACAACAACGATCGGAGGCCGTGGCACTTATCCTCTACGCCACCGAGGTCAACCGACTGAACATAGTATAGTCCTGCGAATTTGTCGATTTTTATAGAAAATAACCCTGTATACTGAAAAAAAAAAAATAAAATTTTTTTATTTATTTTATTGGGGTTGGCATCAGCTTATAGCTAATTACTACAATTATTGTATTACAGCAATTGATGAGCCGATAATAGTCATCCTCGTTTTAACTAGCTAACATTATCAAGCATATAATAGGCTTGTGTCCTACAAATGAAAATGCAGAATTTTGTTATATGTTCGTAATTTATGAACCATTTTAACTTATCAATATTCAACAAAATAAATATAATGTCACTAATTCGCAAAATATTACGCTTCGAAAACTTGAAAGAAGTAGGAAAAATATTCTACTAAAATACATATGGCATTACATTATTTACATGAAACATTACAACTTTCATTATAAAAGTTATCAACATAAACGCACAAATAACAAAGATCACAAAGATTGCCTTGGATGTCCATACGTTTTTCGCTACGGTAGCACCGTATGACATCACTTAGTGCATTGAATTTGTAGGGAGCGTTTTCGGCCGACTAATAGCAGTTCCACAAACACAGGACCGTATCTCCGAAACTATTAATCGCAGACATGCTGTTACTTCTGGATTATTTCTCAGATATTAATGGACTATTTATTTATAAAATAAAAAAAAGTTGTCAACTAGCCTATTATAATTATTTCAATAAATATATCACAATGCCATTCAGATACCTAACACATTTAAAATAACAAAAAAATTGGAATACAAGTAAATTAAAATAAATAAATAATTTAAAGAACAAAACTCCCGACTGCGTAAAAACCAATTTTAAAAAAAATACATGAAAGAATTAACTTAAATAAAAACTAAAAAGAAAGAAACAAGCCCAGTTGTTTAGAATTCTGTTAAGTAATACAGAACAGAACGACTCACAGTCGGGGCCCATTCAAATTTTACCAATCAAATCTTCCCAAGGGGAAGTTTTCTCTCTTGTTTCTTTCTTTTTAGTTTTTATTTAAGTTAATTCTTTCATGTATATATTATAAATATATTAAGATAAAAATATATGTACCATATATTTTTTTGTTTGTTTTTTAAAACGGCTGGACCGATTTTGACGGGACTTTCTCCGGCAGATAGCAAAAATATTTCATTATAAAATTATTCTCTCTGCGACCATACTTTAGATAGCAAAAATCATTTGTTTTATTATTTGTTTTTCTTTTTAATATACTTAGTTCTATTCTTATTAGAGATTTTATGTCTTCTTCTTCTTTTTTAATTCATGGCCTATTTGCGTTTACACAATTCCGCCAATGTCACGTTTGTGGTCTTTACACGTAAAGAAACAATAATAAAATAATGTCTTAAAAATATTATGTATTTTTCAGGTACGCAGTAGAGAAGTTTTGCAAAATTCTGGAGAATTTCAAAACGGCGTCTACTATAACTTTCAAGGTAATCTTTAATAATATTATACGGAGGTGACGTTTGTTTGTTTGCATCGAATACGCTCTTAAACTACAGGACCGTTTTTTTATAAATTCTCTCACCTGCGGCATGTTATAGGGTATGTTCCGATATACACTGCGACCACTGAACAGTATGACGTCAATTTAGTATACTGGAAGCCCGTTCCTTTATAGCTAGTTATACTGGTGACTTTTTAAAACGGAACGCAGTCCAGTATACTGTTAATCCTATTTTTGGCGCCATTTTCAAATTTGTTAATGCAAGGTGAATATAAATATAAAGATTCCCTCTTTTCAAAAGAAAATATTGTAAAATTGTATAAAAAAATTATTTATCAATTAAATCCATCTTATAATAAACGTAAGTATTTTTTTTGTTTATTTAGAAACTTGTCATTTTCTGATTCTGTTTCGACTGATCACGTGGTCAAAAGCACTGCGAGCACCTTACCTCGAAATCTCCAATGCTCACAGTACAAATATGGCGGCAATTTATGACGTCATAAATTTCCCTAGGGTACTGTAGCAGTGTACTGGCAGTCCATGACGGAACGGATTCTTCAGCAGTAAGACCACTGCGCAGTGCTCGCAGTGTATATCGGAACATACCCATTTTATACTCGGGTGACATAGGATACGATTAATGCCGGCGAAGTCGCGTAAACAGCGATAGAATTAATACAATGAAAAGGGGAATACAATTTTCGATTGTGAAACTGGTTAAAGAGCTGGCTTTTTTTTTTTCGGTACTAAACTACGAATTAACATATGACACCTGAGGGTGGATTCTATTTGTCCTTGAGTGGATATTGGGAAAATTATTATAATTTTCCTATGAAATTATCACTTTTTAAACCAATTTTATTCTAAGGCTATGCTAATGTATGCCAAATAAAAATAATTTTATGAGAATTAGAAATATTGTCGGTTATTATTGTAACAAATACATAAATTTCAATAATTGACTCGATAGAATGAGGCAGTATTTAAAAAAAACGCTACGGTACGTTCTTGATTTCTCCATGACAACCCTTTCGGTTTTCTTTCATGTTTAAAAGTAAATTAGTTTTCAAAACTCGATAAACAACTTTTTGTACATTTTCGTATTTGTATTGATATCTAAGTTTCGAACTTTTCAAGTTTCAGTTTTTTAATATGTTAGTCAAAAGGAACGGAAATGACTGTCTTTGGTCCATTCGTTTCCTGTAAAAATCAACTTTTGCTAGAGTCGCCATCTAGTGGAGGTGCTTTTTTTGTGCTTTCGTTTTTTTTTTTTAAATACTGCCTCATTAGAATCGGAAAGATGACTCTGATAGGTTTGTTTGGATTTTACAACTAATAATTGATATTCATTTTAAAAATAACTTAAGATTTAACATAAAGTGATTAAAAGATTTTTTATTTATATTATTTGATTTTTTTCTACGATTAAAAATGTATGAAGTTAAGTGAGTGTATCTTTGTTCTCTTAATAAGGCAGCCTTTAAAAATAAATTAGTGAGGATTATCTTTGCATCAGAGGCAATGTCAACTCCTACGTCTGTTGCATCATAAATTATAGAAATATATGTTTTAGGGTTCCATACCCTAAGGGTTCTGTTGCTGCTATAATATCAAACACCAGAGTAAATATATATATATATATATATATATATATAAGTGGGCTCCCATACAGTAAAAGTTTTTTTGTCATCGTCAGAACCCTTCGTGCACGAGACGGACTCGCACTTAGTCGGTTTTTTGAAGTCTATTAGCATTTAGCATTCAGGTGTCATGTTAATTCGCACTATGAGCGTGCCAAATTTCATACTCCTTCGTCCTCGCAATTTTCGTAAGAAGCTTCGCGTGTTAATATGTAGATTACTTTAATTCTAACTCGGTTTTCATGAGTATGTGTCGTATGGGCGTGCAGGTGGAGATGGTGCCGTCGGCGACATGTGTGGGCGGTGGCGCGGGCAGATGTGTGGTGCCGGCACACCGCGCTAGCACCGCCCACCGGTTGAGGGATATGCGCGCGCGGACCACGCCCACCGACCGTACGTATACCAACGTATACACGTATACATCTCCATTAGCATATTAACTTTTTTATTTTTATTTAATTGGTACAAAAAGTTACTGGAACGTTGCGTGCGCTGTATCGCTTGAAAAACTTTCTACCTAGCAAAACCAAGGCAATGCTTGTGCAGACCTTAATTTTCCCCATAATCGACTATGGTGATGTGTGTTGCCTCGACCTGAATGCAGATCTACTCAATAAACTTGACCGTGTTTTAAACAACTGCATTCGATACGTTTTCAATCTCCGTAAATATGACCACGTGTCTGCCCATCGCTCCCTTTTGAAATGGATGCCTATTCGAAAGCGTAGAGATGTCCGTGCTTTAACTACCCTGTTTTATTTGTTGCAATCACCTAACGCTCCGAGCTATCTCACTCCAAACTTTCAGTACTTATGTACGAGTCATACAAAAGACCTTCGATCTTCTTCTAATAGACTACTTATGTGTCCTGCTCATCATTCTGACATCATCCACTCTTCCTTTTTCATTAAAGCCATTATCCTATGGAATGCACTCCCCACAGACATCAGAATGTCCGCCACTCGGTTTGCTTTTAAAAAAAGTTGCGCAATTTGATATTATCATAAAAATTGCTATCTCATTTCTACTAGGCATAGTATTTATAAGTATGTATTGTATTTATTTTTATTATATTATATATGTATTATGTTATATATAGTATGTATGATTGTGTTTTTTTTATATATTATTCTTTTCTTTCAATAATTACATATGCACCTGCTTTTACCCTTTATTTTAATCTCCACATCACCTAAAAGTTGACTGGCAGAGAATGCCTAAGGCATTAAGTCCGCCTTTGTACGATTGTGCATAAAGAATTAAATAAATAAATACATAAACCAGCCACAGGCCAAAACAAATGTACACAACTAGCTAAAATATTGTTACAACAATGTTTAAACCATTAAAATAAACAAAACAGAAGTTGTAAAGTCAGCTCGATAACAAAAGTTAGAGGAATCGAGTTTAAAAGATGCATTGAGAAAAGCATGACAAACATGCATTGCATAACAATATATATATATAACAAAAAATATAGATACATACTTTCATTCGTATATTAATATTATGCCTATACTTGCAAATATGCACTGCATAATCTGGGAATATATATACAACGTGTCCCAAAATTCAACGATAAGCGGGCGCCAAGAGGTACCCTTGCTCATGTGTACTTATGGAAAAATAAGAAAAAAATTATATCTTATTAATCTTTTTTATTATAAAATTAAATTCGAAAATCTTCGAAAATTTACACCTTTTATGATATTTTCAACTACCACGACCACAACTTCTCAATTATGTTCAATATTTTTTTGGTAATTAACTCTTTCGAAAATTTTCGAATTTTATTTTATAATAAAAAAGATTAATAAGATATAATTTTTTTCTTATTTTTCCATAAGTACACATGAGCAGGTCTACCTCTTGGCGTCCGCTTATCGTTGAATTTTGGGACACGTTGTATATATATGAATAAAAAAGAAAAAATATTTTTCCACATATACACTTATTCCCATACACACATAAACGTACTCATATGTTTCCATAGTTAAGTTTAAAATTTTAGTTTGGTTAGGTAGAGGGAGAAGAGTCAATTTTATGCCATTTTTTAAAAAGTACCCTTGTCCCAAAGAAAATATCAGTTTTGGAAAACTTTGTATTATACAGTCGCCTTAACCTAATAATATAATAAAATCTTTATTTGCAAAAATATGGTTTTATAAGTTGTTAACATTTATTCTTAATACAAAATGCTTAAAAATCCACTTGGTCCCTGGCACTCTGAGATGGGACTCGAACTCAGCCTTTCGCAATCCGGGCGACTCCTCTAACCACTGAGCCACCCAGGACCTAACAGGACTGACGAATCTTTCAAGCACTCGTTACTTTCCGCTACTACAGAGCGTGTTCTCGTCAAAGTTCAGGCATCCACCCAAACAGCCGAAAGAAATATTATTACAAATATTGAAACTTTCGATAAAGATAAGAATTTTGTTCTAATTATTATATTTTGATTGTTTTTTAAATACCCAGTATATTTTGTCGGCAGGATGACTTGCAAATATTACAAGTCATTTATAACAAGAAATATAAAAATTTCAACATAATTCCAAAAAAAATAAAATACGAATTGTCATTAAAATTGAATAAAATTGATATAAAAAAAATTTATGTAAGCATCTTTATCAAATAATTCAAAAGTAAATGTCAATTATAATTACATATGTCGGCGGGTAGTCAGAAGGGGCTATTACGAAGCCCAAATAGATCGTCCATATCGGAGGACTATCTTTAAAATAACACTGCAGGCGTGTATACCAACGTGGACTTGATCCATTTTATCACTTTACATACGAAAATATAACGAGATGAGCGTGATGTCTTTACTCCTCGGCGATCGGAAACAGAATGTGTGCCAAAATGGCGGCAATTTGGTTTTTATTAACGAACTGTCAAAGTCAGTGTCACCATTATAATAAAAGTATCGATGATCACGCTCTCTCTACAATCGAGTAATCAAGTAATCGAGTAACTAGCAATTAAAAAAAAGAAACTAAATAAAACGATCTTCGTAAAGATGGTGCGACATATATATTATCAAAATGTCAATGCCAATGAAAATGTTACCTAGAAATGCGAATTTAATCCCTTTAATAAACTTATAAGAAAATTTGGATCCCTTATAGTTCGCGTGAGAGTAAACATCTGTAATCGATAATTGTAATAATCAACATAAATTATTATATTTATTTATTCTTTATTGCATTTTAACACAACAGGCGGACTTAATGCCAAAGGCATTCTCTGCCAGTCTACCAGTAACAGATGCTGGAGTCAGGATGTTAGTACATAACTCGAAAACCATAATTTCGAGAAAACGTGAGAACATTGTGTTGGGATCCCATAGATAATAGGGATGATGACTAATTTTTGTTTGTTTGTCCGTCAGGTAGAGTGTTAAAAAATATTAAACACGTATTTTTTTCGTAATCATAAAATTACGGCGTCACATTGAGTTGAAATTTCGCATGACGTCACGTTATGGTACGTTTTCTACTCAACTGTGACGTAGCGAGCCCCCACTCCTCAACTTTAATGCCTGTTATCTAAGCTATTTCTTGTTAAATTGAAGTAAAAAAAAAAATACGTATCTAATATTTTTCTATTATCTGACTGACGGACTAAATAGAATTGCATTATTTTTTACCCAGTCATCATCCCTATTGAAATAAACAATAAAAAAAAATACTGTAATAATATAATACAAACGATTTAACTGTTGTGTTAAACAATTTTATTTTCATTATTAAACATTATGATTTCATAAACTTCGGAGAGCGTTTTCTACATGTTATGGTTTTTTATTATTATATTTTTATTTTTATTAATGAAAATTATTCTTAATACAAAATGCGAAGAGTAACGAGTGCTTGAAAGATTCGTCAGTCCTGTTAGGTCCTGGGTGGCACAGTGGTTGGAGGAGTCGCCTGGATTACGAAAGGTCGAGTCCGAGTCCCATCTCAGGGCGCCAGGGACCAAGTGGATTTTTTAAGCATTTTCTATTAAGAATAATTATGGTTTTTGAGTTGTGCCACTGTACTATTCCAGTCAGCGATATAGAAAAGTTCCTTTTCTACATTGACCCGACCGGGAATCGAACCCAGAGGTGACCTTTAAACCACTCGGCTACCGAGGTCGTACATAAATTTGTTTATTTGTACAGTTAGCGCATGGACGGGATATAAACATCGGTGCGATTGTTTAACGCCCAGAACTCTCTGCGCTCAACAGAGGAAACAGCTGCTGAGGTAACGTATATAATAATAATAATAAAGTTACTGAACACTAGCCTTCCGCCAGCGGCTTCGCTCGCGCGATCTAGTTTTAATTCCGGAAATGAGAAAATTCCATTAAAAATTTCATCCCCTAATTTATCCCCTTAGGGGTTGAATTTTGAAAAATCCCGTCTCAGTAAGCACCTACGTCCTAAAAAGAACCCGCATGCAAAATTTTAAACTCCTAGCACTTGTAGTAACCTTCATCCCCTAATTTACCCACTTAGGGGTTGAATTTAATTAATGAATACACATACATAAAGTAACAAAAAGCCGCTATACTTAATACACGTCGCGTTGTGAGGAAAATTCTTTAAATGGAGGATGATATAGTATCATTAAATAGGGAAGATAGCACAGAAGAAATGAAATGAAAAAGAACTTTTGAATCGTCCAAAAAAAAAATATTTTTTCCCCCACCACTTGTTCAGGACGTCTTTTAGCTGACAAGAAGAACACGCGAAAGAAACTTACCAGCTCTTTATCATAAGTAATGACGTTTACATAAATCATGTCATTACCAAAATAATATGTATTATCACAATAATAAATACAACATTCAAAGTCTGTAGGTCATAGGTTGAACATATAATTAGTCGTTATAGAACAGAGCGAAGGCTATTAATTCCATGCATTGCGATCCTTAAAATAATCATCAACTTTATAATAGCCTTTACTCATAAGTATGTTCTTTACATGAATTTTAAATTTATGAATAGGTCACACATCACATACTCATTACTCAGTTTAAGCCCGTATTGAGTATTAGAATCGGCTAAGCCGAGAAAAAAAGGGAATAATAAATTGGTGCTATAAAATTTTACACAAACAAATGTTAACTTTAATAGCTTAATCAAAGCTTATGTTGTGAGTATTAGCGCCTACTTCAGAGGAGAGCAGTTTGCGCATATAAAAAAGAAAACAAGCAACAAAATTAATAATTGTATGTCAATTTAAAAGTGTGAGTGTGTTTGTGTGAGTGAGTGTGTGTTTGTGTGAGTGAGTGGAATGGATGAATAATTTTCCACGTTTTTTTCCACATTTTCCATTATTACTTCGCTCCTAATAGTTGCAGCGTGATGTTATATACCCTAAAGCCTTCCTCGATAGATGGTCTATTCAACACAAAAAGATTTTTTCAATTCGAACCAGTAGTTCCTGAGATTAGCGCGTTCAAACAAACAAACAAACTCTTCAGCTTTATAATATTAGTATAGATATTAAAATAATATTATTATAAAATAAACCAATAATTTATTTTATTTTACAAATTATCTCATTACAACATAATATAATTATTAGGTAATTAAGTACTTAGTATTCGGCCAAATACTTTAATTCGTGGGAGAGCCACGCTTCGGCATGAATGGGCCGGCTCGACCGGAGTGATACCACGGCCTTACAGAAAACCGACGTGAAGCAACACTTGCGTTGTGTTTCGTCGTGTGAGTGAGGGTACCGAAGGCCCAACCCTTCCCACCACTCCTCAACCCTCCCCTCCCTATGATCATATTCGTCCCTCAAAGGTCGGCAGCGCGCTTGTAGCCCCTCTGGTGTTGCAGGTGTCCATGGGCGACGGTAATCACTTACCATCAGGTGATCCGGCTGCTCGTCTGCCCCCTATCCCATAAAAAATATATATTTCAAAAGCAGCCGAATACTAACCGAATATTTGTTACAAGTCTAGTATTAATGTTTCGTGGCATAAGTGAAGTGAGTTTCAGTTGTCGATCAATCTCGTTCCGTATTAAATAAATCTATGTCTACTTTACAATATTAACTAACGATTTTAATGAGTTGTATAATAATGCGGTATGTATGGTTTTTTTTTCTCCAGGATCTCGTTTTTCGGCATGATGCAGGCGGTGAACGAGTTCAACGGGGCGAAGCCCGACGAGCGGCCCGGCGAAACGGACGAGCGGGCGCCGCCCGAAGCCCTAGACAAGTATGCGGATACCACTTAATAACCCACCTCTCCAAATATTCTCACTTTTCAATTAATCCCATTAATCTCTTCAAATATTCCCACTTTTCAATCAATCTCACTTTATTAACTCACCTCTTCAAATATTTTCACTTTTCAATCAATCCCACTTTATTAACTCACCTTTTCAAATATTTTCACTTTTCAATCAATCCCACTTTATTAACTCACCTTTTCAAATATTTTCACTTTTCAATCAATCCCGCTTTATTAACTCACCTTTTCAAATATTTTCACTTTTCGATCAATCTCACTTTATTAACTCACCTCTTCAAATATTTTCACTTTTCAATCAACCCCGCTTTATTAACTCACCTTTTCAAATATTTTCACTTTTCGATCAATCCCACTTTATTAACTCACCTTTTCAAATATTTTCACTTTTCGATCAATCTCACTTTATTAACTTACCTCTTCAAATATTTTCACTTTTCAATCAGTCCCACTTTATTAACTCACCTTTTCAAATATTTTCACTTTTCAATCAATCCCGCTTTATTAACTCACCTTTTCAAATATTTTCACTTTTCGATCAATCTCACTTTATTAACTCACCTCTTCAAATATTTTCACTTTTCAATCAACCCCGCTTTATTAACTCACCTTTTCAAATATTTTCACTTTTCGATCAATCCGACTTTATTAACTCACCTTTTCAAATATTTTCACTTTTCGATCAATCTCATTTTATTAACTCACCTCTTCAAATATTTTCACTTTTCAATCAATCCCACTTTATTAACTCATCTCTTCAAATATTTTCACTTTTCTTCAGGGGACAAGTCTGAACCCAACAATAGGGATCATAACTGATTAACTCTCAAGTAACTCGAAAACTCGAGTATGACTCGAGTCAGGTGACTTGAGTCACAAAATCCTATTTGAGTCACATTATTATTTAGACAATAAAAAAATTGTGAACTATTCTATTTATGGCCCCTAATTAAGGTTACACAGTACTTTTTTACATGTAATAATAATTATATTTTTGTGTAGGCCACCGGACAGTGTAGACAATATATCGACTCTAGCAAACGATACGGATGACTTCATAGATTCACAACAACTGACTGCTAATGAACAGGATAATGCTGACGAATGTGAGTATTTTAAACAATTAAATATATAGGGTTCATCATCATCATGATCACCAGCTGTTTTTACGTCCCCACTGCTTGGGCCTTATGGATGGTTAAGGAGTATGGGCCATGACCCTCCACGCTGGCCCAATGCGGATTGGAGGAACTTAACCAACGGTACCAACGGCTTAACGTGCTAACCGAAGCACGGAGTAGCTCGAGATAATAATTTTTCGGTCACCCATCCCGCGACCGACACTTGCGAAAGTTGCTTAAGGACAACGATGGCGGGCCGCGGCGCTTATTCACTACGCCACCGAGCTAGTTGTCTACACCCCTATTATTATTTGCGAGCGCCAGTCTTGATTATTTCTACGCTATTCCAGTGAGTGACTCTGACGCGAACTCCGGGACAGCCTCGTTAGGTCTATCGACTTGCTCCTCGCTGGACTCGGCCTCCGAGCTCCTGTTGGCCGCCGCGGCCGCCGTCGAGTCCGGCGGCTCGGAGGGCGAAGCGCCCGGCGAGTTGTGTCGCACGGTCAGGCACCTGATGAGGTCCATAGCCTCCATTGAGAGGCTGATGGACAGGGTACTGAAACATTGCGACGAGTGGCCCGCGCCCCCCACTAGAAACGACCAGGAAGCTAGGTGAGTTTGTTTTTAAGATTTCTTTCGGCTGTTTGGGTGGATGCCTGAACATTGATGATAATACGCTCTGTAGTAGCGGAAAGTAACAAGTGCTTGAAAGATTCGTCAGTTCTGTTAGGTCCTGGGTAGCTCAGTGGTTAGAGGAGTCGCCCGGATTGCGAAAATTCATTTATTCGAGTCAAATTTCAGAGCTCCAGAAACAAAGTGGGTTTTTAAGCATTTTATATTAATAATAAACATTGTTAAGTAAAAAAAGTTGTTATTGCATGTGCGTCAAGGTTTATAATAAGATTCCTGAACAATATAAGAATGGATCTGAGAGCTTAATGACAAAAATACTGCGAGAATAGGGATGATGACCGGGTAAAAAAAAATGCAATTCTATTTAGTCCGTCAGTCAGATAATAAAAAAATATTAGATAAATTTTTTTTTTTACTTCAATTTAACAAGAAATAGTATAGATAACAGGCATTAAAGTTGAGGAGTGGGGGCTCGCTACGTCACAGTTGAGTAGAAAACGTACTCTAACATGACGTCATGCGATATTTCAACTCAATGTAACGCCGTAATTTAATGATTACGAAAAAAATAAAAAAATACGTGTTTAATATTTTTTAACACTCTACCTGACGGACAAACAAACAAAAAATAGTCATCATCCCTATTCCTCGTAATTTTTTTATTTTATTATAATATAAACACATTCCTGGAATTAGATAAATTTTCATGTTAATTATAATTAACTGAATAGCGATAATTGTTTTTAAGATCTTGTAATACCTATTCTTAGCAAATAAATACTTTGAACTTTGTCCGTCAATCACGCCGAAATTACTGAACAGATTTCGATGAAATTTGGTATGCGCAAAGGGTATTAGCTTACTAAGATAATAGCTTTTTATCCCACTAAACATTTCCCTAGGGACCACGCGGGTCAAGCCGCTAGTGAAAGCTAGTCCTATCTCACAGTGCCAGGAACATAGTGGATTTTATAATCATTATTAATTAAAAATATTTTTCAGTATAGCATTGTGTATGTAAATTTTAGAAAATACATTCAGAATTATATTTTCTTTATTTCCGTCATTGAAATATTAAAAAAACTTCTAAACGAAATTAACTTGCTTGAAACTTATTTTTCTCGTTAATTTACAAACCGATGACGTCATATCATGGCAGCTACTGACTCGCGTAATAAAAACACAGACCGAAAGTTTGTAAAGATAAGATAAGATAAAAACACTTTATTGTACAACACACAACAGAAATAAATATAGAGTAATTTACGAAAAATAAAACATTTGCACAATAGGCGGCCTTATCGCTTAACAGCGATTTCTTCCAGGCAACCTATACTGGAAGAAGCAATGATAACAATAAAGTAGGTAGGCTGTGCGCGTTACAAATAAATTTCCATAAAGTTCCATTTGAATTGTAATAATTTATTTAATTAATTCATAAACCGAAACTAACAATTGCAGACTGCTTATTAAGGGTATGTTCCGATATACACTGCGAGCACTGCGCAGTGGTCTTACTGCTGAAAAATCCGTTCCGTTATGGACTGCCAGTACACTGCTACAGTACCCTAGGGAAATTCATGACGTCATAAATTGCCGCCATATTTGTACTGTGAGCACTGGAGATTTCGAGGTAAGGTGCTCGCAGTGCTTTTGATCACGTGATCAGTCGAGACAGAATCAGAAAATGATAAGTTTCTAAATAAACAAAAAAAAAATACTTACGTTTATTTATAAGATGGATTTAATTGATACATAATTTTTGATACAATTTTCCAATTTTCTTTTGAAAAGAGGGAATCTATATTTATATTCACCTTGCATTAACAAATTTGAAAATGGCGCCAAAAAATAGGATTAACAGTATACTGGACTGCGTTACGTTTTAAAAAGTCACCAGTATAACTAGCTATAAAGGAACGGGCTTCCAGTATACTAAATTGACGTCACACTGTTCAGTGGTCGCAGTGTATATCGGAACATACCCTATGTAAGCTATCTCAATTGTGTATTTTTAGATTTTTTTTCTCGTTATGATTAAAATACCTATTGTATTTTAGACGGAATAAATCATTTATTCAGCTATAATTTAATTTGTAATATTATTTACTTCGCCTCTTCTTGTATTATACACTAGTGGCCGCCAGCGACTTCGTCCGCGTTTTCCATTATTTCTTCGCCCCTAATAGTTGCAGCGTGATGTTATATAGCCTAAAGTATTCCTCGATGAATGGTCTATTCAACACAAAAAGAATTTTTCAATTCGAACTAGTAGTTCCTGAGATTAGCGCGTTCAAACAAACAAACTCTTCAGCTTTATAATATTAGTATAGATAAAAACCCTCCTTAATCTATGAAAAAAGACCGCATCAAAATCCGTTGCGTAAAAATTTAAGCATACATACGGATATAGGGACAGAGAAATGGAATGGAAATGGAAAATTTACCATTACCTAAGTTTAAAACCCATATTAAGAATTGTCTACTCAGTAAGGGATATTATACTGTTAATGAATATTTAAACGACAAAACTGCTTGGAATTAAATATGGCTCATTTTTCATATATATTAAATTGTTAATCGGTGAGCTTCTTTGGCTACACATGTGATTGGATTGACGAAAATACTGTTTTACTCTAATATTGTGTAATATTGTAATGGAAAGCGACTTCAAATTTTAATGAAGTCATTTTTCAATCTTGACGCTCTGTATGAAATAAAACAGGGAGAAAAAAGCAGCCCTTGCCGAGTTTCCTGCCGGTTCTTCTCGGTACAAGGTCTCTCGCCATAGATTTACGAACCGATGGCGTAGCTTTCGACTTTCACAAGTGCTTGTAACAGCTTAGACTGAATAAATAATTTTGATTTGATTTGATTTGAAAGCGACTTTGTTTTATTCTATTTAGTGATGCCAGGACTTCGTGGACAATTAGGTTTTATTAAATCTCTATTCATTTATGAAATTATTTAATATAAGCACAAATTGAAATTAATAATTACTTTTAATCTAAGCAAACAAACACTCGCAAAGATGTTGATATCTAATCTATTGAAATGTGACGTCACACGATGTTCCGTTATGGCCGCCGTATTCATTGACTATTATTTGTGTTTTTGTCATAGAAAACGTGTGGACATGGGTCTATCGGAAGTGGACAGGAAGCTGATGGCGATGTACAGACGGTTGCCTGAAGTTCACCGGAGACAGCTGCAGGTCTATAGGAAACAGAAGAAATTGTCCACTGTGAGTTATAAATGATATTTTTTATTTTTTAATAATCATTTTTTTCATAGCCATGGATATATGTCCTTTAGCCAAATATATTCTGAAATGAAATGAAAATATCTTTGATAAAAAGAAAAGAAAATATATTTGATGTTTTTTATATCTTTCGTTTGTAATTCACTTTGAAACGGAACAGTATATGTGTGTGTGACTGTATATGTATGTGTGTGTGTGTGTGTGTACAGGTGTGCATGCAACTGGTGGGGGGTCGCGCGCCGGCCCCCCCGGCGGTGGGGTCGCCGCCCCCCGCGCCGCCCCCCGCCGCCCCGCGCAATCCCCACCGCAACCTCTGCCCCGAGTACCATCTGCAACGGTTCCAAGAGGTACAGTACACCAGTACATTAACGAAACTGGAGAGCAAACAATTGGTGACCGGCAAAACCAAAATTGTCCTTCAGAGCGGAAAAACTTTTATTTAGATAAATAATAGGGATGATGACTGGGTAAAAAAAATGCAATTCTATTTAGTCCGTCAGTCAGATAATAGAAAAATATTAGATGCGTATTTTTTTTTACTTCAATCTAACAAGAAATAGCTTAGATAACAGGCATTAAAGTTGAGGAGTGGGGGCTCGCTACGTCACAGTTGAGTAGAAAACGTACCATAACGTGACGTCATGCGACATTTCAACTCAATGTAACGCCGTAATTTTATGATTACGATAAAAAATAAAAAAATACGTGTTTAATATTTTTTAACACTACCTGACGGACAAACAAACAAAATCATCATCCCTATTTTATAAACGTTTATTGTAATAAATAAAGTGTCCCTGAGTCAATTTATATGGATAATGTTAATTTTTTTGGATAAATTTAAAGATTTCCTTCTCTAAATATCCGTTTTAGTTTTGCAGGTCACTACGTGTTTGTTTTACAGCGTTGATATACACAACACAACATATACTAATCATGCGAATTAACATGACACCTGTTCTATTTCTATTTCTCTAAAAATTAAATTGTGTCTATCCAGGGTTGGTAATTATCAATTATATTTTTAGATAATTATCAGTAGTCACTTATACATTATAAATATATAAATTAGTAGTTTTTTTTTTAAATAACAATTATATAAATAAAAAAATTTACTGTGAAATCAAACTTAACAAAAAGTGAAATGAAAATATAAATAAATGAAAACTTAAAAACTTATAATAAATAAAAAGGCAGTGTATAATTTTTGTTTGGTATTTGCGGGCCCATCCTAGACAATTTTCTCTATTAGAAAAATCATATTTTATAGTTGTTTAAAGATTATTCCCTTTTTAATAACAAGTCCTAAAATACAATAGCAGTTTGTGTAATTATTCTCTAACTCTCCCGGAAGAAATCCCGGGAAGGTCCACATTAATATCAACATTTCAATGCAAGTACATAAATAACTCTACACCTAATTCCGACCTCTGCTCATAACTTTTTACTGGGTGGACCGATTTTGATAATTTTTCCTTTATATGAAAGCTAGTGCTTTGGTCCAGATCTGGCAATGGCATCTATGAGAAAACCGTATAAGTCTTAAATTTGCATTAAGTATGCGTGATGTTTGTTATCCCATCACTCAAAATATCACTAAAATGCATGAACTAAAAACTTTTTTATTTAAAAATGGAACTGACTTTAAATTAAAAAAAAAAGTAGAAACTTATACTAATTAGGGTTTAATGTTTTAAGAAACATTAAAGTTTTTTTTTAAGCTTTAAGAATAAGTATATTATTTTAATTATTATTATAAAACATTTGAATTATTTAATTTATAGTTAACTAGCTTACGCCAGCGGCTTCGCCCGCGTGGACCCTAGGGAAATGTTAAGTGGGATAAAAAGTATCCTATTATCTAAGTCAGCTAATACCCTATCTGTACACCAAATTTCATCAAAATCCGTCCAGTAGTTTCGGCGTGATTGACCGACAAACATCCAAACAAAGAAACTTTCACATTTATAATATTAATAGGATTTATCACTGATTATCAGTGGTCGGAATAGGCTAGTTGCCACCAAATTAAATTCTCAAAAATAATTGTTATGCATAGTTGTTGAAGGTTTATTTATTATGAAAATCAAATTAAATAATTAAAATATTCAGGATTAAATTAGATTTTCTTGAAATAAAATCGGTAAATCACATACATCAATCACGAGACATCAAACGCCAATCAAAACGCATGACGTCACTTCTTCATGACAGTTGTTGTTGACAGTTCTTATCGTTGTGATTCTGCTCGATTCCGTATATGTTTGCTCATTTCTTTAGTTATTTTCTAATTATAATACACGTTTCTTTTTGTAAGATATTTAGAACAGTGCTTTTATTAACTTTTAATATGGAGCAAGGATTTGTTAAAGCAAATAGTACAAATTTGCCTGAAATTGATGCCGTGATGCTTGGAGTTTTTTTTGCGTCAAACACCGATTTCTGCTCAGCAGAATTTCGTAATATTAAGACTTCTAAGTAAGTATTTATTTTATTTATTACTAGATTATGCTGTTATATTTAAAATTATCTTATCTATCCTTAAAAAACAACGGTCAGGGTGTCTGTTGAGTTGAAATACGTTTTTAGGTTGGTTATGATGTTTACCAAAAGCAAAAATTTAACAGCGATTTTGGTTTCAGGTCTTCCCGTGCATCATATGGTGACGACGCCATTAGCTACGTACAGCTAAAACGGGATGGGAAGATTTGCACTATTAAATGTAAGATATGCCCAGAGCATAAAATTCACGCAAAGCTATACGCAGTGACAATGGTGATAGATGAAGAAGAAGAGGTAATTCGCTCAGTGGAGTGTCACGATTGCGTTGCTGCACTAGGAGGTTGTAAGCACGCAATAGCCTTCCTGATGTGGGTTCATCGCAGGAGTGCAGAACCTTCGTGTACTTCAGTTGAATGTTACTGGAAGAAATCCAAATTGTCCAGGATTGGCACGACTTTAAAATTCATTACAGCCAAGGAAATGTCAAAAGGAAAACCTGTTCTGCCATCAAATACAGCTGTTCGCAATACATTTTTAGAAGAAGGAAGGAAAAGAAGTCTTGAAGAATGTGAATTTTTAAGATATAGTTCAAGCTCTTCAAGTTCTGTTATGCTATCGATGCACAACCTTGTGTTAAAGTTTAAAGATGAAGACTGTGACACATTTTTATCCAAAGTAAAGATAATGGATGAATCAATTAAAAAAATTGAGGAAGAAACCAGGGAACAGAGTTGTAGTAGACTATGGTTTGAAATGAGATATGGTAGAATAACAGCATCAAGAGCATATGAAGTAAGCCGCTGCAAGACAATCGATGGAACGCTCATAGCACTGATTATGGGTGGCAAAATTCCCGATACGAAGACAATGAAAAGGGGAAGAAAATTGGAAGACCAAGTTAGAGATGCAGTAGAATTGAAACTGCAAAAAAAAATAAGAAAGTGTGGTCTTTTATTAAGCCAAAAGTACCCTGTGATTGCCGGATCCCCTGATGGTATTTTTGAGGACGGCATTATTGAAATTAAATGTCCATCAAGCAAAAAAAATTTTATTAATTACATAAAAAATGGGGAACCAACAAAAAAATTCTATACACAAATGCAAATCCAAATGTTTTTATCTGGAAAAAAAAACTGTTATTTTTGTGTGGCTAGTGCTGATTTTTCAGAGAGCAATAAAGAAATAGATATTTTGAATGTGATTTATAACGAAGAGTTTGTAATTGACCTAATAGAAAATAATTTAATAAAATATTGGAAAGAACAAATATATCCTTTGTTATATAAATGTTGTAGCAATATAGTGTAGTTACATTACTTACATTATAAAATAATATTAATAAAACCAAACATTATATATTTGTGTAGTTTTATTTAATGAGGGAATCTTGTATATTAATTAATCCACATGCAATAATCATAATATCATCAAAGATTTTAACAAAATTCATATTTATACAGGCATGTGGCTTCAACATCAAAAATTCACGTAATCTTCTTATGACTCTTTCTATATGTATACGCAGGCTGGCTATTTGTTTGGTTTCCTTAGCCTCTTTTTTGGTCATCTTGACTCCTGTTTGTACAGATGTGGGTCGGACCAACTGAATACCTGATTGTTCTAAATATTTCTGCACATTTTTGAAGCCTCTGTCGGCCATTACACACATTCCACTACTTAAAGTTTTAATAAAATCACACGATTCTACAATGCAGGTATCAGTTGCCCTTCCACCAAAGCCAGGAGATATGTAACTAACTAGACCATTTGGAGTGCATGAAATTAGGTATTTAAGCGTGTTAGCTTTTTTATATTCAGACCAAGTAAGAGCTTGGTGGACAGCATTAGAAGGTTTCTGGACTTCTATCTCCAAGCAATCTATTATGCATCCTACATTGTAATATTTGTGTCTAAAAGAAATAGGCAATGTCCTTAATAGATTTTCAGGTATAAGTTTCACTATAAAAGGATGCATTACACTTGCTATCTTAGGAATGTTCTTTAAAAATATCTTGCTAGCAGCTGATGAAGTCATGCCAAAATCAATACCTAATTCTTTAAATTTGGTATCTAATCTAATTTTTTTCAAGCACAATAATATACAGTGTTCAGGTAATTCCAGTTCTTTCATTATTAGATCTATTAAAAAGTAACAACTTCTAGGAATACCAATGAAAAATCGTGGATCACTTTTTATCTTTTTAATTGTATCCTGTAAGGTTCTCTCCAACTCTAGTTTTGTTTCATATTCTTGGAATTCACTGCAATCCGAAGTAGATTTAGTTTGTATAGAATGTTTTGAAGGTGAAGATTCTGAACTAGTTAAAGGTGGAGCATAAAAGGAGACATCACTGTCTGAATCTTCTTGTATTTTAAGTTTTCTTGAAACACTGCTACTGCTGAATCCAGGCCTTGGTTTTTTAGAATGATCAACTTTAAAAGGGGACGTAGATACACATGCAGTTGTAGATTTTATTGGTGACATTGCTTTATTTACAGAGTTTATGCCGACTTGAATGGCTTTACTGCGGAATTTGCGAGTAATTAGCACTTGGATTGCTTTATCCGCTGTCTTGTGGGTAACTACCATATCCTCTACAATATTTGGATCTGAAAAAGATAAACATAAAACTAATATATGTCAATTAATAACGAGAACCTAAGACATGAGTGTATTAGTTTACTCTTTAAGGTACCTGTGCTGGCTTGAGAAGCATAGTCAATAAGTGTACTTTGCGTTCCACTACAACTGGGCTGGGGGATCTGTTCTGGTACTACTGATTCATTCAAGCATTCTTGGACAGTCATCATTCTTTGTTTTTTCACAATATAGGGCCGTTCTGTTGAAGTAGTTCTTTTCCGCCTGTCTGGTTGACAATCAAACTTACTAGGGACACATCCTGGCTTCATGAGTATTTGTGATACATGTCCCATAATTTGATACTCAGTATAGTTCACCATGTCATTTGGTAACTGTAATAAATAAGTGCAAATTAATTTCATTGAATATGCATTATTATTCCACAATTACTTACATTTGAAATTTAACTCAAGTCATTTTCAGTGCACAATTTAATGATGTATTCATACCTACTTATATTTACATTCAAATGTAATTTTATTACGAAGCAATCATGCTAATACGAGGGTCAAACTGAAAGTTCTTAGAACTGGCCACTTATAAACAATATAATAAAAAAATAATTCTAAAATTTGAAAATATAACTCTTTGCCAATATTACTGAGTATATATTTCATTCATTTGTCATTTGTTTTACGATTTGGCGGCAAATTGAAAATTGTCTGTGTCACGTCATCATGAATTTAACACGAGAAAATTTTCGTGCAATGATTTTTTATGACTTTCGATGTCATTTAAGTCAACAAGAAAGTTATGATAGACTACGATTGGCCTTTCACGATGAAGCCCCATCTCGTGCAATTGTTTACAACTGGTTTAATGAGTTTAAACGTGGTCGCACTAATCTCACTGATGATTTACGTGAGGGACGGCCTTCTACGGCGACGACTGAAGATAACATCTGTGTTGTGCGGCGTATGATAGAGACTGACAAAAGAGTGACCTATCAACAGATTCGGACAAGCTTAGGCATCGGTATGAGTCAAGTGCACAAAATCCTCCACGAACATTTAGCGGTCAGGAAGCTTTGCGCCCGGTGGATACCTCATAATTTGACTGAGGCTCAAAAACTCCATCGTGTGGATTGGTGTCGTAAAATGATTGAAAGATTTAACGGAGGTGACTCAAATGCTGTGTTCGACATACTAACAGGTGACGAAAGCTGGATTTACTGTTATGATCCTAAAACCAAAAGACAATCTGCTCAGTGGGTGTTTCCTTTCGAGGAGTTGCCAACTAAAGTGAAGAGAGATCGAAGTGCGGGAAAAAAAATGGTGGCCTCGTTCTTTGGAAGGATAGGTCATTTTGCAACAATTGTGTTAGAGGATCAAAAAACAGTTTCTGCAGAATGGTACACTACCAATTGTTTGCCACTTGTCTTGGAAAAAGTTCGAGAGAAACGACCTCGCAGTAGGATCCTCCTTCACCACGACAACGCCTCGTCGCATACCGCCAAGCGAACGATCGACTATTTGGCGACATCAAACGTTGAATTACTGGGTCACCCGCCCTATAGCCCCGACCTCGCGCCTTGTGATTTTAATTTATTTCCAAAAATTAAAGAAAAACTTAAAGGAAAGCGGTTTATGAATGCTGAAGAAGCGGTGGCTGCGTATCGCGATGCCATTGAAGAGACCCCTAAGGACGAGTGGGCAAAGTGCTTTTCCCAGTGGTTCCATCGCATGCAGCGGTGTATTGACGTGAATGGACAATATTTTGAAAAGATATAATAAAACTAATAACTGGCTAATGTAATCAGTTTTTGATTTTCTAAGAACTTTCAGTTTGACCCTCGTAATCATGAATTTTTTGAGTTTTAAATTGTCAGGTTATATTGACGGCTCTTTAATTATTTAATGACATTGATATCTCATATTGAATTGTGAAAAGCTATCAAATACTATTGTCATATTTAAAATTTGTAATAAAACCTGCTTACATCAAAGTGATCTTCACAAAAATACAATTTCCCACTTGTAGATAAATGCTGTGGGTCTCGCCTTGCAAGCTGCAACCACTTCTTTCGTATTTCTGGCTTATGGGGAACGTAAATAAACAGTTTATTTGGTGTTTTCACTGTCGTACTAGCACACAGTGGCACGACACAGTTTTTATAAAATTTTGAACTCATTTTAAACGTCGCGTCGCGTAAAATTTAATCTCACAATAACTAAACAGCTGTTGTTGTAGGAAGAGGTGACGTCACATAAGACGCCATAACACTTTGGAGCGTTTTGACAGAATATGAAAATAGGTATTAAATAAAATGCAAAATATACTATTAAACGTGTGGTTTTTATTGAAATATTGATATTTTGAGATTAATAGACTATAAGGCCATGGATTAACTAGTTTTTGAAAAGTTGTCAACTAGCCTATTAGGTAGAGTTATTCATGTACTTACACTGATTTCATAAAGCGAAAGAATAAAGTGGATATGCCTCAAATCCCGAGATTAATTTTAAAGAGCAGAAAAAATCCCGTGATTTTTTAAATAAAAAGTTATTTACTTTTACACAATTTAAACTACTGCACGCACGACGTTGCCAAACTTACATCAATGACATCGGATGTTCAAAGAATTAGAAATTGTCCATTAGAAATCCCGGGAAGGTCCACATTAATATCAACATTTCGATGCAAATACATAAATAACTCTACCTAATTCCGACCTCTGCTGATTACTATAGCCATAGTAATGTTATATTAATTGCAGGTTCGACGCAAAGTAATGCATATGAGGGACCAACAGCTGTATTACCACAGACTAAGGATGTGGTTAGAGGAGCAACTACGACAAGAAAGGGACAGGTATAGGAACTTCGAATGTTTTGATACTTTCAAACGAATTATCCTATTTAGTGAGTTACGAACCTATTTATTGATTTTAAGTAAATAAAAAAAATGTAGGTAATATTGTATATATTTTATTTCCTAATTGAGTAAGTGAAGTGTGTTAAGAAATAACGTAGGTACCACTATCAAGACAAGAGACAATATAGAAAAGATTTATTGATTGATTTAACAGGGAATCGAACACGGGACTCAGAGATGGCGTAAGAAACCGGCGTAAATGAAAAATATAACATAGCAGATACCATCTTGAACAACTTATGTAGTTTATAAACTGAGAGCTTGTGACAAAAATGTGCAAGTTTTATAAATGTTGATAGCATGTGCAATAAGGTGTTTTACTCCGTTTGAAATACCATTCATCATCATCATCATCAGCAGCCCTTTTATGTCCCCGCTGCGGGGGCTCAAGCCTTTTTGGATGGTTAAGGAGGATGGGCCGTGACCCTCCACGCTGGCCCAATGCGGATTGGAGGGTATTAACGACTGCAAATGCAACGGGACCGACGGCTTAACGTGCCTTCCGAAGCACGGAGTAGCTCGAGATAATAATTTTTTTCGGTCACCCATCCCGTGACCGACCCTTGCGAAAGTTGCTTAACGATAACGATCGCGGGCCGCGGCGCTTATACACTACGCCACCGAACTACTCAAATACCCTTAGTACTTCATAATAATGAAATATTAACCGTTAGAAAAATGTTGCACGTTTCTGTCACGAGCTCTTGTGCTATTATAACACGGTCGCCGAACAGAGAGAATTTCGTACAATGACCCGGCATCACGTGTCTCTTTCACTCGTCCTCAAAGATATCGCTATTGCGCTCGCGCAGATGCATCTGGACAATTTTGTCATAGCAAAGTTAACCTTAAATGTATACGATATCTTCTTAATGAAAAATGTTTAAAAAAGTCCACTTTGTCCCCCCTTCCGCAATACGGGCGACTGCTCTAACTACTGAGCTACCCAGGACATTGTGAATGCAAAATAAGGTATTCGACGCTTTTCTGAAAACTTACCCGACTGCGCGACGCAAAGGAGGGTAATGTGTTTATCAGTCTATGTATGTTTTTTTCTATGTGGCGTTCTAGAGACCAAATGCGTAGGCCGATTTTGATGATTCTTACGTCAATAGATTCGTCTTAACCTTGCGAGTGTCACTAAAGACATGACAGTAATCAAAATTCACCACAGCGACAACCAGACGCCATATTGTCTAAATGAAAAAAAAAATCGACGAACTATGTCAAGTGGGGTGTCGTTGAATGGGTCTTTTAAAATCATCTTTAGGTTCCTTTTATCACTTTTCATTTTAAATAATAGTTTAGGATATATAACGATTTAAAGTTGTTTAACAAAACAATCATATTCGCTAATTTTCTAACTAATTGATTTAAGTTTTTATTTAAAGTATAAACGATATTTTAAATATTTATTTTATAAATCATAAACACAATGTCAATAAATTTTTCATAAGTATCTGTTCCATTTTTAATGTAATGGCGCTGATCACGTGGTATTTGTGACGTCACACGCCGGTAAATATGTCAAGACGACTTAACCTATTTATCAACTATTCATCTACGCAGTAAACAAATAGTATTACAGAAGAGAAATTGAAATTACATTTAATGTTTCGTATTTGTATCTGCTCTCGTTTTGTTTATAAAAATGTGCTACAAATTGTATTTATGTATAAATACACAGATTTTGCGTATCTTTAATAAACACCGTTTTGACATGACAACTTCCTGTTTACGTGTGACGTCACACGTTATTGGCCGCGACGACAACCAATTATAGGGCGTTTTTCGTTTGACGATGTTGTTGCTCATAGAAATTCCTAAAAATTTTTTTACGTTATTTTACTAAAGCTAATCATATTTTGTCTGAGGACTCTAAGAAATTAACTTTATTATCTAACAGGATGACCATAATGCGCAATTTATTTTTAACTAGCTTTTGCTCGCGACTTCGTCCGCGTAGTAAAGTTACTTTGAGCAGCATTTCTAACGAATATTTATTTATTTTCCATTAGGTACTGATAGGTTCAAACTAATACATTTACATCCTCCATCATCCCTTATTTTATCCCCATGGGGGTTGAATTTATCAAAATCCTATTTAAGCGGACGTCTTCATCATAGTAGATCCAATCTTTAATTTCAGTTCAATCAGTCGAAAATGTAAGAAGATTTATACAAATTTTCATCCCCTATTTTATCCCTTTATGGGTGGAATTTAAAAAAATCCTTTCTTAGAGGATGCCTACATTATAGTAGCTTTATGCAAGCAAAGTCTCAGCCCGATCGGTTTAAAATTTACAAAATTTCATACAAAGTTCATCACCTATTTTATCCACTTGGAGGTAGAATTGATCAAAATCCTTTCTTAGCGGATGCCTACGTCATAACATCTACCTGCATGCCAAATATCAGCCCGATCCGTCCAGTGGTTTGGGCTGTGCGTTGATAGATCACTATGTCAGTCAGTCACCTTTGAGTTATATATATTTTGATAGTGTCAGATACCCACAGATAGATAAAATTTTTCATCACAAATATAATTTTCAATCAGTACCACAAAGGTCAACTTATGAAATTCTCTCTATTCAGCAATCGGGTTGTAGTAGAATGATTTAACTTACAGTTCTTTTAAAATGTATTTATTATTGTTCTCCACAGCTTACCAGATAATAATGTTACATTGATAGAAGATCTTCCGCGTCGCAAACGTCGAACGGCAAGTCCAAAAGTGCCACGTTTATCTACAGCGCCCAAACGGAGACTCAAACCCGGCTCTCCGCTAAGCAAACCCCATAAAATACTCCAAATGTTAAGACACAAAGCGCCCGCTCAAACCACTCAACTATTAACAGACGCATTTAAATCTGACGACGAGAAACATGTAAAATCGGAACCGGAAGCCCCCGAAGCGTTCCCTTTAGAAAGGGAGGACAATATCAGCGATACAGAAACGATAGTAGGCGAGAAAGAGACCGGGGATCTATGTAAAGAAATGAAGGAGTGCTTAGCTAAATTTGCAACGTTTGCGTTAAACACTCCAGATAATAATGTACAAGAGGAATTCGATATGCAAAACGATGGCAAATATCCGGAATCTGTTAGTCCGCCGTTACAAGAAATGTCGCCGACCGAACCGGTTTTTAACGCGAAATCGACTCAAAGATTGATGACGGTAAATAAGTTTTTGAACGATAAAGATTTTCAAACGCCGAACGCACCGGAATTGAATGCGCCTCTGAACGCGAGACGAAGTCCGCCCAAAGACGAGGAGAAAGAGAGAAACGCTGAAACAGAGAAAGATCCTAATATATATAAATATGTGACATTCGGCTTAGAAATCAAGAAAGCTATGGAAGAGTGTCAGAATATAATCAATTCTTATAATAATACGTCTAATTGTAAAGAGAAAGATGAGGACGGCCAGTTGTCTTTGGAGCAGATATGCGAAGTCATGATGAGCTTAGATAAAAATTCAGCTGAATTCCTAGAAAAAATTGACTCTGATGATAATTTAGATGTCAACACGGCCAATTCTAAACTAGCGGAATTAGTTGAGAACATGCCACAGATACTAGCCAATATGCCTGAAATAGCATCGAAACTATCGGAATTTGCGAACGCCTCATTCGAATTGCCGGAATTCGCGTCGATAATGAACAGTTTGCCGGACGAAGCTCAACTTACTCCGGAAACTTTGAAGCAAATCAGGGAATTGAAGTTGAATAAGAGTAGGGACAATGTTAAAGTTACTAAGAATACTGCCAAGCGTAAGATAAAAAATAGAATTAAGAATAATTTAGACAACGACTTCATAGGTACTATGACATTTGAATTCGACAGTAAAGATATTACCGACTTACTGAAAGACGAGAAAGAGTTACAAGCTCTTATGAAGAATAACACTAATAACAAAGAAGAATTCAAAGATCTACTCTTTTCTATATCAGCTCAAGTAGTTATAAATAAAGTGTTCGAATATCTTAAACAGAATAAGAGTCCAGAGCTAGCGAGATGCTTGGAAGAGGACGCGGAATTTTTCGAGTTGCCAAAGAACTCTTTAAACTCCGAAATGTACTCGAAAGCGTCCACTCTATTCGATAATTCTGTGAAAGATGCACTAAGTATGGACGAATTGAGGGAACTAGTTAAGTCGAGATTCATTTCTTGGAAGCATTATGTCGCTACAAAATTTAAAAGTATACCCATAGAATTATTAGAGAATGAAATTGAATCTATGCTCGATAAATTCTATAGTTACATACAAGATTTAGCAGGGAAACAGTGTGTTAATGACAGTGATAAGATATTAGAGAAAATCGATGATCTAAGAAAGAATAAGGACTTCAAAGACGTCGAAAACGACAATTGCGCTTCCAAAGAATCTCTGCAGCAGATAACCAAGTTGCTAAGCACATCGGCCGGCAACACTTTCGATTTACTCATAATGAAACTGTCCAAAATGTCTCAAGATAAGAAATCATCAGTGAAAAGTCTAAAATTTAAATATATGGACGTGATAAGACGATGCGCTGAATCTCAACAGTTAGCCGGTTGGATATTACTCAATCCTGAAATAGCGTGCAATGTCATATTAGAATTAACAGGGTTACCGTTAAGAAAAACTGAAAACGTGCCAGATTTCACGACTTTACCTAACGATAAGAAGAAAGACTATTTCATGGAACGGCTAAGGGTTATGAATAAAATGTATATGGAGTCTTTACCTAAGAAAGCTTTGACCGGTGACGAATGGCTAGTGATGCTATATAGATTAGAACAATTAGAGGGTAAGCTTAAAGAAGCCTTCCAGAAAGTGACTTCGCCTAAAGTCCAAGCTCAAACGAATGCTAGCGAAGCCGAAATCTTAGCTGGGAAGGGTTTAAGCAAAATAATAGGTAAAGCGAACGTTCGTGTAGTCAAAAGATCAGACCAGAAACTTATAAAAAAAGAAGAGGTGAAAGAAACCAAAGACAACAAAGAGGAAGACATTAAAAAGTGTAAAAACGACGCGCTATTAGCTAAATGTGAAGCAATATTAACATCTAAAGGCGAGAAATCTTTACTAGAAAGTTTTTATACAATCAAATCTTATATTACTCAAGGTCTGCCGGTGCCTGAAACTTATAAAAAGCATGTAATATCTATATGCTCAAGTATAGACGCAAAACTATTGGACGACGATATAGAAGACACTTTGAAAGTCGCCGAAAAAGAAGAATTGGACTCTGAATTCACAAACAATAAGGATAAAAATGTATCTGTTATTGGATCGCAAAATCCTGAATTATTAGCTAAATATTCAGCGCAAGCTCTAAGGAATGCAAGGCAGACACTAAACTCGGTCGCATTCAGAAACATGATGAGGAACGGACAGTCTAAATCGGAGTCTGACGTCTGCGATACGCCTAAGAACGATTGTAAATGGACCAACGATTGTTTGTGTAACGCCTGTAAAGATTCCGATTCTAATTCTGTATGCTTAGGGGACATTGTGAAACAGTGCTATGATATTAAAAGTAAAACCGGTTTGGACGAAAAGAAGAAGGAACCGAAGAAACCGGTCCCGAAACCGGTGAAGCAACCGCCGAAAGCGTGTGAGAATGCTACGCATCAACAACATGTATGCAAAGGTAAGGGCAATACTTACAGATAAAATATATACGAAATTTTTATAGGCTCCATCGGCTGTTCCAAAATAAAACACTGTACACCCTTTTTTTTATAAGGACGCATTCTTTTATCGTTCCACCACTATATATAATAAGAAACTGTCAAACATAGATTTCTTTAACACATCTCCGAAGAATATTAAAAAAGAACTTAAAAGAAAAAAAAAGTAAAAAATTATTATAATTGTTTACAGTTAATAGTTTTTTTTTTTTATTATTTTATTTTGTTACATATTGGTTGGTCTCCTCTGGTTTGATTTTTATTGTAATCACTAAGCTTGAAAAGACTTTTTTTTGTACTAAACTTGGGCACTGTAGGTTTTTTTAATCATTACTGTTTGTGAAATTATTGTTATTTTATATGACTGTTCGATGCCAAAATTAATAAAAAAAAAACTTCTATGAGAATATTTAAAATGGCGAAGAAAGTTCAAAAAATTATTCAAATATTTTGTCTTAAAAATTAACGTTACAAACTTAAAATATGAAAATTCGGGGATGATGAATAATTTTTGTTGATTCTTAAAGAATTTTTTAAACATGTATTTTTTCGCATATTAGATTTCGGCGATACATTGAGTTAATATGTAGCATCACGTCACGCCTATGTACATTTTCTACGTAGCTGTGACGTAGCGAGTCCTCCTCAACTTTAACACCTATTATCAAAGATATTTGTTCGTTAAATTGTAGCAAATGAAAATACCTATATAAGGGTTACAGGGGTAACAGTACAGGGGTATTTTAGGTTTACACAGATGTGTCACAGCCAATTGGTACAATCAGCCGACCAATGTGGCGACTAGCCCTTTAATTGAATGGTGTCATTCAATTCCATTATCGGTCTAGCCGCCTAATTGGTCAGCTGATTGTTCCACTTGGCTGAGACAGATGCACGTGTTTCGCATTCAGGGTTGCCACACGTACGGTTTCTGATAACTACAATAATTCGCATAGATTAACGGCATTATTGATTAGATTTTTGTTTATATTGATTTTAGCTTTTCCTTTTTTCGTATTGAATAACGAACAGAGCTAAAAATTTTACACGAAAATCTTGCGAATGTTCTAGTTTTGTGTGTCATAGATGTGTATTGTAATCGTTCAGTGGGCCACGGGGGCGGGGCCGCGGCAGGGGCTGGGGGCGCGGGGGCGTGCGCGGGTGCGGGGGCGGGCGCGGAGGGGGCCGGCGACCAGCCCTGCAACTGTTGTTACTGCACTGTGTTCGGACACGCGGTGAGTAAATCGTATATACTAATATTATAAGCAGGAAAGATTTGATTGTGTGTCTGTTTGTTTCGATTGATTAGGCTCCGAAACTACTGGAGTGGTTTCAAAAATTCTTTCACCTATGTGTAGCTACATCATATGCGGTGGATATGGGATATATTTTATACTGGAAACACAGCAAATAAAGGGATGAAAATGGGAATAGAAGTTTTTATAGAGAATCAGGACGTTACCACAGTAACCACTGGTTACTATTTAATTTGACTTTGTAATTATATCCGTGTATTGATATGAATCTATACCCAAATAAACAGTTCCCTAGGAACCACGCGGGCTAAGCCGCTGGCAAAAAGCTAGTAGGGTATAATTTAAGCGGGCAAAATCTTCCTACAATACGCTGTAGAAGTCGATGTTAAAAGTGTGTAAACAATGTTAGAATAATGAACTCGATGGAGCGGTGGTGAGCGCGTTCTACTATTATTACTATTGTTAAGCAACTTTTCCAGTGGCCGCTCATAGGATGGGTGACCAAAAATTTACTATCTCGACCAACTTGGTGCTTCGGAAGGCACGTTAGCCGTTGGTCTCGGCTGCATCTGCAGTCGTTAATTGCAAATTCAGCCGGAACCAACGGCTTAACTTACCTTCCGAAGCACGGAGTAGCTCAAGATGATAATTTTTTGGTCACCTATCCCGTGGCCGACCCTTGCGAAAGTTGCTTAACGACAACGGTCGCGGGCCGCGGCCACTCATCCACTACGCCACCGAGCTACGAAAATGATGGTGACACAATGCAAAAAATGCGATCTTCAGTCCGCCATTTGTCCTTAGTTAGGCAATAAAGAATAAATAAATAAATATACTTACAACAAAGAAAGATGTCACTAAATGTAGAAAATACCTCTTTATTTATGATATAATCAGAAGTTTGGTTGGTTTATAAAACTATGATCTGTTGTATTCCAGCCGCCTCTGACGACGCCTGTACCTAGGAATTTCAATGAAACTAGAGAGAGATTAAGATCAATACTCAACAAGAAAAAGCAACAATGTAAAACGACCAATGTGAGTATATTAAAATTAATCGCCTTTTATAATTTATATATTTTATCAAAGATTTTGGTTTGTCTTTTCGAATTAGCATTGCTTCTATCAATTCGATATTTTGTAAATTTCGTTTAACTTTAATTATTCAGTAAACAAAAACAACCATTGATTAAATATGTAAATAATAAAAGAAGATTAATTTTTAAACAGGTTATGCTAAGCATAAGTTTAACATTTTGCGTATTCCGCACTAATAGGTATGATGACTAATTTTTATTTGTTTGTCCGTCAGGTAGAGTGTTAAAAAATATTAAACACGTATTATTTTATTTTTTTCGTATTCATAAAATTATAGCGTTACATTGAGTTGAAATTTCGCATGACGTCACGTTATGGTACGTTTTCTACTCAACTGTGACGTACCGAGCCCCCACTCCTCAACTTTAATGCCTGTTATCTAAGTTATTTCTTGTTAAATTGAAGTAAAAAAAATACGTATCTAATATTTTTCTATTATCTGACTGACGGACTAAATAGAATTGCATTTTTTTTACCCAGTCGTCATCCCTATTCTCGGTATAACTTTTTATACCACGTTTATAAGTAGCGCTGTTAGAATTTAATTTCTTGTTACTTTTCTGCTACCAATGTTCAGGCAATTTAAACTTATTTAAATTGATAAATCTACTTTGCACCTGGCACCGATTGGATAGAGGTCATGGGATAGAGTCCTATTTCAATGTGAGATTTCTTAAGCATTATTTATTAAGAATATTTTAATATATTATTAAATAAATGTTAGCCATCGTCCTTATTTGGTCTCTATTTTTATTCTAATCTTAATGTTATGAACTATAAGCTATTGAGGCGTGGTTTCCTCGGCCAATGGGCACGCCTTTAAATAACTGAATGTATGGCTCTGCGATTGGACGTTTGATCTGTACAATTTCTCGACTCTCAAAAGTTACATGATAAATGAGTTAAGCAACTTTAGCAATGGTGGTAGTTACGTGGCTGTATCATCTAGTGGCAAGAGAATCAACTTAATACGCTGAGTTGGACTCGATAACTCGAGTGCCTAGAGGCTCGGGTGATTTTTTTTTCACTCGAGTAGTTGGAAAAATTCTCTCGAGCGACTCGAGTAAAAGCAGGATTCGGGTTGCGTCACTAGGCCCGATGCGGGAGGTATTGACGACTGCAAATGCAGTCGGGCTTAAAGTGCTTTTAGAAACACGAGATAATCATTTTTCGGTCACCCATCCCGTGAACGTCCATTGCGAAAGTTGCTTAACAAGAACGATGGCGGATAATACAAAAATATTAAATACTTTTTTTTGCTTCAATATAACAAAAAATTGCTTAGATAACAGGCATTACAGTCGTTAATAGCCTCGTAATGGACCAGCGTGGGGGGTCACGCCCGTCCATAAGGAAGGCCTGAGCCCCCGCAGTGGGCACGTAGTAGGGCTGATGATGATGGCGATTAAGATAATCGATTATGTCGTGTTAGAGTGAACAAGAGTTACAAGAGAAGAAGCAGGCGGCGGTACAGACACAACCGGTGGAACAAACCAATCAGAAGCCGCAACAGTCTTCACCTAAACCGCCTGTGAGTATATAACTATATATCGCTCACTGAATAGTACAGTGGCACAACTCAAAAACCATATTTCGAGAAACGCTCTCCGCTGTTGAAAATTTAATATATTTATAATTTTGAAAATCAAAATTTTTAGCATAACAGTTAAATCGTTTGTATTATAGTATTATTGTTAAGTTTTTTTTTATCTTTTCTTAAAATTGTCTATGGGAAGCGTTTGTATGATTTTATTATTGTTAAGTTAAGCCACCACAATGTTGTGGCGTTTTCTCGAAATAATGATTTTTGAGTTGTGCCACTGTACTTTTCAGTGAGCGATGTATAATACAGCCATAATACAGAGTAATACACAGGTGAATAGGGCATCGGATAACTGTCTGAGAACAATTTTATAT